TGTTGTATGATTGATTAGCACCTTCCTCCACTTGCTTCAACTTAATGCTGAACTAGACCTTGTTTTTTTTCTTTACTCGTTCAACAGCTCTACATTCACTTAATCTCATACAATTCGACACCCTGCTGCGAATAAGACACGTATCTTCGAGCGGTGCTCATCGTCTGTCGTGTGTACATCGTTGGTAAAGCTAATTTATTATCCTGACAAACTTATATACAGGTGTCGTCGTGCTGCTTATCAGATCATCAACATTCTGTCAGAACAAATGAACTTTTCCAGAGAACAAATTCTTCTGTCCTTTCTCCTCTCTCGCTCTCTCTCTCGCTCTGCTTTTCTCCTTTTTGTGCGTGCTTCTGTTCAAATGTGTGTGTGTGTATATATGCACTAATTGCTATTGTTCGAACGAGTTCAATGTTCAGTGAGGAAAATGATGGTGTAGGAGATCTATCCTTTCTTCTTCTTTTAATGATCTATACGCGTGCATTGTGTCAGATAGCATCATAAGATTAGCGCACAGATCAAGGTACGATTTTCTCCTAATCAATAGTGCACAGTTGTCGGGTATGAGATTAAGTGAATGTAGATCTGTTGAACGAGTAAAGAAAAAAAACAAGGTCTACTTCATCATTAAGTTGAAGCAAGTGGAGTAAGGTGCTAATCAATCATACAACAGATAACTAAGCCTCCTGTAGACATTGTACGTTCAAAGAATCAGATGAACCATTTGCTTCATTTTAGATGATTCTCTTCTATTTGTTTTTATTTATCTCCTCAACGAATGGAATATTTCTTTTCTTCGAGCGTGATTCCTACGAATTCTTCATTTCGGAATCTGCACCAATCAATACTAAAATCGGTTCGATTCAAGCTACATCCTCCTCGTCACTATCAATTCGTTATGAACTGTATGGTGATATAAACAAAACATTTTATCTTAACTCAACAACTGGAATTTTGACTCTATCGAATACGCTTGATTATGAAACAATTTCAATTTATAAATTAACTATCGAAGCACGAGCATTGTCGTCCACAGTTGCTCCATCGTTCAGCGAAATTGTTATCCATGTTCTCAATACAAATGATAATCCACCAGATATAAATGTCATGTTTTATCCATCAGTTTTAACTGAAGAAAACGTCATCAAATATGATTTAAATAGCAATTCAACACCATTAGCAACGATCAATATTAAAGATTTAGATGAGTCAACAAATAATTTAACATTATTTATTAATGATACTCAACATTTTCAACTTCAATTTGTTCGTCAAAGTAAAAATGGTTTGATCACCGAATCGATTTATATCCTATCAACAAGAAACAATCCGCATTTACTGAAGAAAGATCACTATTATTTATCATTATATTCATGTGACAATGACCAACCATCCTTGTGGACAAATCGAACGTACGAGTTTCATTTAAAACCCAATGAAAATCTTTGTCAGTTCAATCAAACGCATTACATCATTGACATCAAGGAAAATCTTCCTAATCGAACATTAATATTACCTCGACTGACGAATCAATTCTGTCAAACAATGGTCCATTCAATCGACGATACAAAAAACTTCTTTATTCAACCTCGCACAGGAGATTTATACACATCAACAATGTTCGATCGAGAAGAACAGAGTATTTATCGTTTGAATCTCCAAGCTGTTGATCAATTTAATAAAACAATGAAGGCAATTTTAACTGTTCGAATTCTCGATGAATATGGTCATATTCCATTTTTATCATTGAAAAAGTTACGATTAAATCGAGGAGAATTCTCGTCCATCGATTTATTCAATTCGACATATTGTCATTATCAAACAATGGTTTATAATTACTTTCAATTATTATCCAATTGTACACTGAAGAAACTTTCCTTACCCGTTCAAGGAAAATATCTTTTCTCAATTCAACTCAATCAGAAATACAATTATGAAGATACTTTTCTATTAGAATTAACATCAGATTCCAATGAAACGATCTTCTCGAATTTAGTCCAATCACAATGGATGATTATTATACCGATTATCCTCAGCATATTTCTAATTCTATTATTAATTATTTGTGCAGCGATGATCATTCGAAGACAAAGATATAAAAAACAGGTTTGCCCTTCATTTATAATCCTTCCGGTTTAGCCTTTTCTTCTCTAATCTTTCTAGAAATCGTCATCAACTTTATCCAACAGTGAAGAAAATGTTCATAATAGTAAGTAGTGCATTTCAAGTCACTGAACTAGAAAAAGGAATAATCTCTTCTTCTGTCAGCTTTTCTCTTACATCATGAACGTTTTCTTTGTCTTCTTTAGAATATGATGCAATTTCAACTTTATCCAAACTGAAAGTACACGACGATCATCAATTATCTCCATCGCCAATAAGTACAGCTTTATACATCGTGCAAAAATCATCGTCGTCAAGTCCGATTCGTGATGATGAAGGTTATTCAGGTAGTTCGGATGTATCCGAAAATCCTCTTTCAATGGAAACAACAATCATTACGGCCAATCAACTAGTTGAACAATATCGTATACATGAATTTCGGGCTCATCAGATGATGTCACCTTCTAATGATGATGCACCTAAGCGGTTGAGTACATCGTGTGTTTCAGCTGATGTGTCATTTGTATAACTTTTTTTTTTATATATATAGAAACATATTGTTGGTTTTTTTAAATAAATGAATTCCTCAAAGGAATATAATTAGATGAATGACCTATAGAAAGGATAAGAAACTAAATAGAATGATGTAATCGATTTTATTCGAGCAAAGATCAAAGTAATTAGTTGAAGTGAGCGTTACACAAAGTAACGAGTCATATTATTAAATGCACATCGCAAATGATTTTACCAAATGGATGCGTAGTCATATTAAAGCGAAATTCAATATTTCAATGCTCATAATTCACGAGCAGATGAATTTTATGTGTTACCATTTGGTCTATCTTTTTAGATAATAACTTCTCAGACTAAACAATGAAACCATATTGGCTATTAAACCGTGTAACCAATCAATGAATCGAAGAAGAAAACTATTGAGATATATGATGAAAATTATGACGAAAATAGCCCATTGGTCATTTCATTGATTGCTCAATATGTTTGCTGACTGCACACGAAGGAAGTCAATGTTATATATATCATCATGAAAATCAAATGATAATCATCAAGAAAGATTGTTATTGTGGGAATTTTCATTTCAACTCAAATTATGCTCTCAAAAAAAAAAACAATTAGAGCAACATAGAAAAAGAAAACACACGCATACAACAATTGACACAACAAACATCCAGAAAACAAAGCTTTCTTCACATCATGTTTCGAAACATAGAAAAGACAGGAAAATATTTCTGTGCGCGACTTACATTAATCTGCATTGGAAAACAAAGAATCCAAAGCGCATCTAAATCAGAAAAGAGAAAGAAAAACGACACACAAACCAGACAAAAAGAGACTCAATTCAATAATAAATAGGAGATGATAAAGAGTTTTGAAAACGAGTAGAGAAGGATATCATATACAAAGACGAAAAACGAAAATGAATCGCTGCACATTTATAATGATGATTCATGATTCTATCAGTTGCACAAAAGGAAACACATACGACATATATGTGAGCAATGGGTGAGGGTGTGTTCGGTGGAAAGTACTTAACTCAATATCATGACAAAAGAGAAAACAAATAAACAAAACATTGCAGCTACATATCTACTGTGTGTGCCGGCACTCATCGATTTACAAAAACAAGAATAACAACGAATTGGTTACGTTTTTCTTTTATTGCATAGCTGCTCGACGTAGAAAAAGAAAACGAAAGTTGATTTTGGGTATAAAACAGAAAATCGAAACGAACAAAACTCATCTTTTGCATCAGTGTGTATATGTATGTGTTGCTCATTAACAACAAAAACAAAAAATAGATATTTATATGTATATATGACAATGATCGCGCGGGTACACACAAGAAGGAAACAAAAGAAACGATGGCACACACACACACACGCACACACAAATATATATGTCCAAGCAAAAAAGAAAAATCGAGATTTTCGATGTCATGAGAGAAAATACACGCATATGAACCAATACTTTGCTGATTCGAATAATTAAATGTCGACTGATGATTATTAGATCTCATCTACGGTTGTTATATGAGATGAATCATTTCCATTTGGATGTACGGTATCACCATTAGTTATTTTCGATTTGAGTTTTCGAGAGAATAAGGATGGATGACGTTTGATTTTTGTTTGATCGTTCTAAATAGAAGAAAATCAATTCTATAACATCATATTCATCACCAGACACTAAATTAGTTTAGTTCTTTTACGAATGTAAAACTAACAATAGTATATATAGATACTTTCTAACTACGAAGAAAGAATTACATACAACATTATTTCATTTACCCCTCTGTCATGACTGTCTATCAAGCTGAAAATATCCAAATATTATTCATTCAATTCAGTACTATTTCGACTTACTTCATCCATCTTCCGATCTGTGCCATTAGCAAGTAGTAGGCGAAACTCTCGTTCTAGAATCTGACGCGTCTAAAATAAACAAATCAATGAGAGAAAAAAAAGTTCAAATTCATTTCTATTTACCATTGCTTGTTGACTGGGTATTTGCAATGCTAATGCTAATGTATTATAATCGAATGTCTCATCCAGTGCAATTAAACCACCATGAATACCAGTTTCCGTTAGATTATTTGCATATTCTTTCAAACCATTAATAGTTGATAACCATTGAATAATTCGTTCATTGGTCCACATCAACACATCTTGATTTTCATTCAAAGATTCTTCTCGTCTTCGATCGAGTTCTTTCTTATCATAATTAACTCGTTTTAGTACCATGATACCATAATGAAAACTTGTTCTAAATAAAGGAAACGATCAAGATTTGTTTTTCTTTTTTCAATAGTGGTCTGCTTACCGATGGAAACTGTCAACCATTTTCAATTGTTTACTTAAATCTTTTTTACTTAGATGCTCGAGCATACGTGCATCAACAAGACATTCCATGAAATAGGATCGATACTGTGGCAAGCCAAGACTTGGCAACCATTCATTTCCAATCCATTCATGATCCATTTCTCCGAATGCTAATGACTTGAAAAGAAAACGAATGCGAATGAAGGATAAATCATCATGAATGAAAGAATATTTACAGTAACGGATGTTCGTGGTCCGTCTGGTGATGTTAAATTCAATATTTCTTGTATAGCTAATCGAAGTTTAAGTCGATGTAGTGGATTACTAATACCAATTTGACGTTGAATTTCTTCTTCATTTAATTCGGACATAATTGCACCTGATTTTACATTGGCACGACATGCTGCAACGTACCATGCTGGCATTTTGACCCATAACTACTCGAGAGAAAGAATGAACAGATGAGCTCAGTTTTCGTTTGTCAAAACATACTTCAAGCCAAGCGACTACGGTGGCTCCGTCCCACGTTGGAAATGGATGATTGTTCTGAATGGCATCTTCAAGTAATTCTTGTCTAAGAATACAAAAGTTCACTTTCTCTAAATCTGTTTTGTCGTAAGAACATACTTTTTCTTTATTCGGCGATCGAATTCTGTTTTTCCTAAACTAAGCAATGTACCGGTAGTAGAATCATTCATTTCATTATGCCCAGCACTATCTGCAGGTACGGATGAAGCTAAAACAGAGGAGATTAAGGTATGACAAATATTATTCTACGGTTTAGTATACCTCGTGTAGTGTACGGTGATGGATAATGTTGTTGATAGGATGATACTGGTTGATGGATACTTTCGTGCATTGGTTTATTATCCATTGAACCAGGCTTTCGCGTGAATAACCGACCGAGAGAATTTCGAATACCCTTCTTCTTTTGCTGTTGTTGATTTCGTGCATAAATGCTGTTGTCATCGCCTGACGTGGAATTTTGGGAGCTTATCGGACTTGGAGAGTCTTGATGAGTGATCGACGGTATAGATGTAGGTTGAGCCACGGACGGATTAGGACTAAAAGAGATCGGAATTGACATGAACGTAGAGAAGCAAGGTTTAAGGTTGAACTTACTAATAATGCCTCGTATTATCGTCAACATGCTGTAAATGTGTTCTTGATGGGTTGGTGCTCATTCGGTACTGATTTTGAATACTTGATGATGAATGATAATTGTGATGTGGTGTTGCTGTTCGAATGTTAGTTGTCACTCGTGGGGGAGTTATCGGCGGGCTGGATTCACATTTTAAGTACCGTGTCGGTGTTCCGTAGTCATTTCGAAAAGAAAGTGGAGATTGATGATGTAGAGCATGGTCATATTCCTAGAATATTGAACAGAATGTCGTTCTTTACGTGTTTCTTATTTCGAACTTACATTGACATTAGTTGGATCAGAACCCATATTATATGAGTACATATGCGAAGCTGTCATACTAGGTGGAGCCTATAATACGGAGTAATGATATATTTTAAAATATCGTTCTAATTCGAATCGTTTTACCGTATTGAATTTATATGATTTTGCATTTGCAGAGTGTGACCCTGATGATGGCAATCGTCCAGCATAGTTGCTATGTGAATTCATAGTGGTTGGTGGTGAGTTTCGTAAATAACGTTGTGATAAATGAGATTGATAATGTCCGATATTTCCATTCGACAATGCCGATGTTGGAAGTCGATGATGATGATTCATTTCATCATCATCTTCTTCTTCATCGTCATCCGGTAAGTGATAAACAGAATTTCCTACAACACGTGATTCTAATTCTTCAGCGCGTAGTTCAGCATCGACTTTTTCCGCTTGTATCATTCGAATTTCATTATTAATAGCATCGAGTTGTTCTTGCAAAACAAGTGCTAATGTTTGAGCATCATTATGTGTCGATTCATGAGGAATTGTTCCGTTATTTATTGTCACCGGATGATGATGTTGATACAAAGAATCCTCATCATCAGTTGTTAATTCCACATCAGATGATTCAAAAGCTAGACGAACGTCATTGATGACTTGTGCTTGATCAATCGTGTCCCAGTCTGCTTCGGATGGCTAAACAAGTCAGTTTTGAATAAATTGCAATCGAAATAAAAAGGAAATTACCTTAAAGATATTATCGGGCACTAAAGGTGCGTTTTTAACGACACGTGACAAGGGTGATCGTCTGTTAGAGGAATCAGTTGCATTAGTTATGAAATCCGTCGAAGAAGGAGTTGGTATTGGAATAGATTCACTAAAGAAAAATGTTTATTCGTGTAAACAACAGTTTCAATTCCTTACGTTTTTGTGGGTTGCTGTTGTTGTTGTTGTTGTTGGCTACGCTGTAATTCTTTTCGAATATTTTCCAATTCGACTTTGAGTTTCTCAATGTCTTCTATCAGTTTTGTCTGAAAGCACAAGAAATGCGATACAAGAAACAATGAAAGATCGGTAAAATTACTCGTTCAGTTTGTACTTCATCTAATTGTTTTCTAAGTTTTTCACTCTCTTGTACAAGATGATTCTTTTCTTCCAATGTTTGCATTCGTTCATGTAAATGTGCTTGCAAACGTTCGTTCGATTCAGCTAATAATTTATCAACAGTTGCTGATAGACGAGTATTGTGTTCATCCGTAACTTTTTCACGTTGACGAGCCTTTAGAAAAAGCGATTCAAAGGAAAATCCATTGACTTTGGTATGAACGCTTAACTTACTCGTGTTAGCTCCATTTTAAGATCATCATATTCGTTCTGTAATTGATGTAATTTATCATCGTTATTTGGACTGTTGGAGTAGGTGGAAATCGATGAACCATTGAGATTAGTTGCAATCGTAATACCATTTTGTTTGCTGGAGGGATCAGTATCGTTTTGAGATTGAAGTTTTTGTTCCAATAACTCATATTTCTCTTGAAGAGCTTGATATTTTTCTTCGGCCTAGAAATGGAAGGAAGAGAATGCACTTCAGTATTTCCGAGATATTTCCGTCTTCTGTATCACAAGCAAAAGAATTTCAATTAGCATAGCGCATTTCGATCTGATCAGTGTGAATCAATCAATTCACAAACGATCGGCTCTGAATAGGTTTGCTACAGCTCAGACATATCACGTCGTCTAATTATGTCCTTATCTGCCAAGTCGTGAGAAAAGAATACTGGCGAGATAAAATTGAACTTACATGTATAAGTTGTGTTTCTTTTGTTGCCAATTCATTTTCCAGTCGACTATTGAATTCTGTGAGATGTGTTGTTTCTTTTTGAATATTTAAATAGCGTTTCTCCAATGTGGATATTCGCTCTTCTTGATCTTCTTTTTGTGCTTGAGATTCTTTTAAATCACGTTGATATTTATTGATTTGTTCATGTGAATGAGCGAGATCACGTTGAAATAAACATGCACGTTCTTCTAACTCCTTATTTCGATTAGTTAATTCATGAACACGTGCTCGACAAGAGATTAATTCATTACATTGACTATCCATCAGTTCTTGCATTTCGATTAATTTACCAGTTAATGAGTCTGGATCGATTGTACCATTGGACATCGTCTAATTATCATTGATATAAAGAGAAAAAAACATGAATCCTCTTTTAGAGAACGGAAAATAATTTACTTTTAATTGATTAACATCAATTACTTTGGCTTGTTGAGTTTCACGAACACCGGCAAGCTAAAAGAAAACCAAAGTGCAGGAAATCACTGAACATTTAGAGTCAAGGTTGATTGTTTTCTTTTCCTCCAGAGATCCAACTATAACAATCTAGATTACCTCATTTTTGGTTCGTTCAAGATCATCTTTAAGTTGAGTATTTTTTTCAATCTCTACTTTGAGTCGTTCACGAACCTATAAAAGGAAATAAAGATAAACATTTTGAAAACCGATGAGCAATGTTTACGTACTTTTTCATCTAGGGCTTTATGATGTTCAAAAAGTGATTTGAGTGCTTTGAGTACTTCAACTTCAGATGAAACACCTTGCGCTTGTCGTCGCATAACTGTCGTTCGAATTGATCTTTCATGTCGAGCAACAAGTTGTTCGAGATGTTCAAGAAGTAACTAACAACAAAAGTTCATCAACAAACGGATTATATCGAAACGAATTCAACTTACACGTGTATTGTTCCGTTCAGCTTTGAGTTCGGTAACTTCATCTTCTTTTTCCGTTAATTGTTCGCGTAGTTGTGACAGTTCACGAACCAGTGCTACGTAGTCCTTAAAAGCAAAAGACAAGCCATATGTATTATTGATCATCAATTTTTATCTTTTTTTTTCTTTTCTGAGAATAAAAGAATAGAGAACCTTATTCGAGATTAATTCATGCGTTGATGTCGAAGAAGCCAACGGAGAAGTATTTATATTCGAACTTGAGCTTAACCAAGGTAGCGGGCGTTTATATTTTTGTTGCAAATCAGTATCGGGTGAGTTGTCATAAATAGGTTGATGTTCGATTTCGTGCAAGATGTCGAACGAATGCGAAAGAGTTGACAATGTCAACGGAAGTTTTAAATCGACTTTTTCAAGAATTTTCGGCCATGAATTACGATAAATCGCTTGATTTTCGTGATTAAGTAGATCGAAATCATCGATATCATCAGAAACAATTGCACTATCACTACTATCTGAATTTGTCATTGTTGTTGGGCTTGCCGCAGTTAATATTTCCTCATCGTCTTCATCATCATTGTCATTGTCATCTTGAGTAGGTGTTAAAAGTGTTTGAAGCGAGATATTATTTTTCAAATAATCGTTCAAATTGGTTGATGAATTCATTTTCGGTAAATACCGCGATGGATTGTCAAAAAGAAATGAACTTGATTGACAGTCGATGTTCATCATAGTTTAGCAGTTGTGTATATGTATGTATGTATGTACGTCGATTCTTCAGGTTTAATCAAACATATATGTACGTAAATACAAGTATGTATACTCGTTCGTTGGTAGAGTTAAATAATCAACGAATTGCTTCTCGTTTCTCTGCTCTGATCTTCTTTCTTTTGCTATTTATCTTTCTCTCTCTCTTTTCTTCTCTCTCTCTCTCGCTCGCTCTCTCATTCTATTACTTTCTTTTTCTTTTCAGGTTGCTTTTACTACCATACTTAAGAGAATAAATAGAAGTGAAAATTAATGTCACGATGAATTGTTTATTGAAGTGGTTCAAACATCATCACGACACGCAACAAGTTGGAAATCGTGTCATCATTAAACGATCGTTGTCAGCAATTAATATGTCCTTGCATTAAACGGTTGATTTGGTGTATACGTATACCAATGTGTGAGTTGGATAGTGCTGTCGAAGAATACGAATGAAGGTCGATATCACAATCGACGTGTCGAGATGAAAGCATGCAGGCGATGCCACTTAGTATTGTCATCAATCGAAACCGACAAAAAAAAAAGAGGGGCCGAATAATAAGTAAGCAAATGCCCCAGAAATAGATCTCATGCGTCAACAAAGACTAATATATAGCTTTTTGTTTATTGTTAAAATGACTATTGTCATTGCACTAGTGTTTCTACAATGTCAATTATATTTTAAGTCGACATGGAACAATGAAAACAGTATGTCAACCGACAGTATGACATCGATCATGTATAAACTAACATTTATTTATCTTCGATGATGTATTCCAATTATTCATATGTTTGTTTGCTGCTAGTAAACGAGACTATAGAGTAAAGGCTTTCTTTTTTAATCTTATAACAAGTCTTTCATATAAAGCGTCACATTTCATTTACTATATTAAATTACATCAGAATATAGGTTTGTGTGTCAATTCCCATTGATACTTATGAATATAATATTCAAGCAAACAATCAAACGATGAATAGAATTGAGAACGAAGGAGAACACGATGAACGTAGAAAAAGAAGAAGAAAAAAGAGAAAACGAAGAGACGAACAACAATGAACAATCTCATCACTATTGTTTGATCATCATGAGAGAACGACTATGAAATTTACGGATAAAACATCAAATGAATATATAAAACAATGATTTTTTTTTCATTATTTCTTATCCAAATAGTACTTCGAGGGTCATTCGCTGACATATGAATAATTGGTAAAACGAAAAAGTGTTAATCAGAAACAACATGGCCTTTACTATGTATCCCGATTTCTTTTTTTGATTATATCAGGTGTTTGTACATACGCGTCAGGTTCGGTGTGAAAAAGAAGTCAAATAAACGTTAGTTATCGTCAAGTACATCAACGTTTACTATTAATTGAGATAAATAGACAAATGTAAATGATACCTTGATCGATAGATGCGATCAAAGACGAAAAATGAAACTTCGATTTGATAAGACTTATAAATGACCAAAATAACCTTTGCGCTTACGTCAATTGCTGAGAAACGAGACATGGAAAGAGTGTAAGTAGATATCGATCTGTCATCGATCGATGACAGGTTTTTAACCACTTGTTAACTTTTTATGTTGATTGATGGAAATGTATAGCGAAGTGTTGAGTTAAATTAATCTGATTTACGAATGTTTCGATGCTCACAAACACAATCAATTGAAAAACAAGGAAAATTAATAGACAAACCTGTGGTGCATTTTGCGATAATTGCCGAAATAACACATCACGTTCTTTTTCAGTTTCAATTAATTTCTGTTGTGCCGTATTTAGTGTATCTTCGGTTTCACGTAGTCTTTCTTGTAACTAATGAGCGAAGAAAACAATCAAATGTGAATATGATACGACTTGCAATTAAATCAATTACTTTATCACGTTCTTCAAGCATAGATACCATTAACTGTTCGATATTAGCTTCAGCTTCTTCGCCATTGTCTGATCCTGTACCATCACCATGATTGCCATTCCCACCAGTGTCTTCAGGTATGGGTGGCATAACATCACATATCATATCGGCATACATTTACGAAGAGAAAATTGACGAATTAATCGACGAATAACAAAAGTCTTATTAATAAACTTCCAATGTATTTATGCTACCTAAAGGGAAGAAAATAGATCTGTAAAAGTCGATGTCATTAAATATTAACATACATTGTCAAATTAAATATGTCTGATGATAGATAATTGAAGAAAATCATGATTAGATTCGGAAAAACAAAGAAATATATCTGAAAATAGAACCAAAAATGAAGAAGGTAATATTGAATGAAGAAAATCTTATCCTGAAATCAATATTGGACATTTCATCCCGTTTTCTCCTTCTTTTCTCAATAATCAATGCATTGAATGCAAGAGATCTAAAGTTCATCTTATTCTGATTTCTTCGTCTTCTCCTCCTCTCAATTCTCTAAACGATACTTAAGTGAGCAGCAATTACAATTCATTTCTGTTACTCGATGTATACTACAGAAAGTCGCCAGACGAAGAATGACAGACAAGGGAAAGAAGAAAACATGGCACACGTTGCTACCATTTCACACTATCCATTATTGATTGATTGGCAATGAACGACGAGAAATGAATGACAGACGACTTGGACCTAAAAGATGGAATCGAACTTTTTTTGCTTCTATTATTGCGTCAGTGTTCGAATAAGTCTTTCAGCCAGATTTGTCTGTGTCGTATCAGTTTTCGATGTTGTAAAGACAGACATCAACAACAGTGACGAAGAAAATGGATATTGTGTGATGATGGTGTTAGCGAATAGTAAAAATGTGATTAAGATTTTTTTCCTCTTCTTCTTTTTCTTCTGCTGCTGTGGTTGCTTCGTCTCCTCATTCTAGTATCCTTCTTTTTTTAGCTGTTGTGCTCACTATAATCAGTAGAAAACAAAAAAAAAAGAAGAAGAAAGAAAGAAGGAAAAGAATAGATTCAGCTGTGTACGTTGTTGAGAAGACGAAGGAAAGGCAGAGAAGAGAGAAGAGAAGAAATAGAAGAACAAGAAATAAGAAAATCCATCGCATAAGGATGATGAACAAGAACAAGTAATAGCGCTCGTTGGTCTAATGTGAAAACACCCTATCGATGATGATGATGATGAAGAAGAAGAAGGAAAAAGAGGGAAAAGAAGAAGAACAACAGCAGTAGTAGTAGCATCTAACAACGACGGCAATTATGAGAAAATGACAAGACAAAACATTGTCGTTAGAAAAACGAGGAGAAAATCAATAGGAATTTTCGAAAATATGATACGATTAACTATGAATGTCAGCACATCGGAAATATAAAAGAAGAAATATGCGATTTTCATTCGATCGATCAAGACAGGTATTATGAAAAGTTCAGATAATGAAAACCATCCTCTCGTCTGCAAAAGTAATGCCACTAGTACCATTAACATTGGGAAGCAATGTAATTACAAATACCCGGGATATCAAGAGAAACACGTCAATGAATTAGTCGACAAATCAATAGCAGATTATCGATGATCCATGATCTTTTTTCTCTCTCTCTATCATGCAAGCAGATGAATATGTGGAGAAGATCAACAAGAGCAAAAGTGAAGTAGCATTGGTAATTCTGTTTAACTTCAATTAAACATCTTAATTATCATAGTAACTGAAACTTCTAGCCTAAATCACTGATGAAAATGAAATGCTTAATTACTATCGATGGTATATCTGTATATACAATGTCCGACATTGTATATACATATATATGTAGATATTCTTTATCTTTTATATGCTCAATAATAGAATAGGATAGACTATTGTGGGAAGGAATGGAGAGAAAAAGAAAAGGATCAGTCTTATCGATGAAAACTATAATGGTAATAAGGAAAAGAAAGATATCCCCTCTTCGGTCATCCATAAATAACATCTATGCATTCACCCATATCTTTCATCTTCATTCCGATCATGAAAACAAAAACAAAAACTGCTGAGAGACCGGAAGACTTTCTTTTACTTGAAACAAAATGATCACATTCGCCGTTTGACTAGAGCGATGAGACAAACACCAGTCAATAAAACTGATATGGAAAATGAATATTTAACCAACAATGAATGTTGAAACCATTGGAATTTTTCGACTCTATAAACCGGATGATTGAAATAATCTTTTAATATTCGTCGTTCACAGGATTCCGATTGAAATAACAAATAAACTTTTTTGCCATTGCGACTAACTTCATATTCCATAGCACAATATGTATCAAATCGTGAGATTATATCTGACATATCAAGTTGTTCATGATTATGATGTTCTACAACAAGATATTGTTGTAATTTCTGTTCACAACTTACGTTTTTATCGTAACGATTCAATGATATGTACGGAAGAAAGGAAGAGTAAAAGCGATTTTTGTATGAATTCATTTCATTTAAGCAGATATCGAAGACACATTGATGTTCATTGAAATCGATTTTCTCGACTCGTTTTTGTTTGTATAAGTAAATCAGTTTGAGGAAGATGACGCCAGACATATAAGCATCGTAACCAGCTTCGTGTGTCTAAAAATGAATATTCATAGAGAGAAAAGTCATACAAAAAGGTATTTTCATACTCGAACTTCATTTTGGTAACGATCATCGGCATTCATCTCGATAATTGGTTTCAAAAAGATAAGATTCTCGTAATACTTCGATGTTAACAACTCATACAACGATGCAAGTGATGTAGATGTGGTAAAGTTCTCCACATAATTGCTAATATTTTGTCGATTTCGACGTGTGAATAGATAATCTCGCATCTGCAATGCCAGATATTTTGTATCAAAGATCGAACAAATGAAATTCTTATTCATTAACATTTGAAAATCTTCGAACTTCAGTGGCAGTGTATCAATAAATTTGTCATAAATAATCAGCCAATCGAGAAAACAATTATGTCCTTAAATAGAATAGATACTAACATGATCGATAGTCAATCGAATGTAAGTCGTGTTGCTTTTCTTCTCTGACATAAGTAGAAAGCTAAACGAGGTGTAACGACAATCACATAAATAAGATCTCACGAAAAGAAGAGCTCATTTTCTCATGAAATTTGTTGGATATTTCTGACAAAAAACACTCGAAGATGTAGTTTGTATCTCTTCCTGTTCGGATTAGGTGAAACGGCTGTTCGACCTTGGTCGCTTTTCAACAAGTGATAAGACATCCTTAAGCTTAGAGTAGATAACAGCTGGTAGGCAAAGGTCCTGATCTAATGTATAACATGCAGGTTACTTCAAGTACGAAAGTATCTCTCGTAGAAATAAAAGACTCTTTTGACTAACCTATTATTGGTTTTCTATAATTATCTTGGATATATCGTATCAATTTTGTAAAACAAGTTAATGATTGAATGAATGATTGAACATCATCGTGATTATCTTTTAATCTTTGTTCGTAGACATCTCGCGTCACGTATTCAATGACAAGTATTTTGTTCGAATCAGTCAATTGAATCGTTGTCCAAATTGTTTTAAAACATCGACGAATTTCTCGTTGAATTAAATAATCATTTAAAATGTCTTGACAGTTCTTTGACAAATCATATTCCATTCGATCACCAAGACCAGCGTTGATTAACCATTGATTGATTTGTTCAAATAAAGTATTTAAACACCGTCGTTGGTTTATTGATAAACTCGTCGTTTGTTCATTTTCCGCATACAAACGTTTTTCTTGAGTTTTATTGAGAAAAGATATTCCCGAGTAAAAACATTTGTTAAAATCGAACTTGTACTCTGACAAAAACTTGATTGATGACGATTGAATGATAAATTGAACATCAATTGGATTCATAGATGTTGGATTAAGATAAAAATTGTAGATATCAACATGATATCGATGTTGATTGGACGTTTGAGAAAAAATTGCTAGACCAAATTGAAAGACTGTGATTTGTTGAATGAAATTTGCACTTTGTTTATAGAATTGTAGAAGATTTTTCCGACTAGAATTGTTGTCGATGGCACTGAACTCGGTATCAAGTGATAGGAAACACGATTTGTCAATTTGTTGGAGAATTAATGGAAACAAATGCGAAAAATTCGCTGATGTTACTTCACACATGAATTAGTTTGTTTTCGTCGTGAGAAGAGGAAAGACAACAAAAGATGAGAAGAAATGACTGGAGAGAAAGGATCAATGAATAAACACGGTTAAGTACCATCGATAAACCAATAAGAATAGATCGAATTTGTCAGACAAGTTGATTTGATAGAAATTTATCGAAAATCCTACGGAGAAAATTTCTTATTTGTTTTTCAAAAATTTCAAAAATAAAAATCACTCTGTAAACCAACTCCATCTATCGTCAACTTGGGAGTACAAAGACGAAGCATTTACTGAAACAGTCCTGTTGTGAATTGAATTGATATTTTGTTCATACATAGTCGTATTATATAATTATCATAACACAGTTATGACTCGATTACGATTTCCTTTCGGTATCGAATAGAAATGAGCACCATATAGTGAGAATAAATTATCTCTTCGAACTGTGATCAAACTCGATGGGAGGATATTCGCAATCTTTTCAGAGTGAAATGATCGAGAGAAGATGAATTGTTATCTTGTACTTAAAGTGTTTTTCACAATAGTAATTGCATAATCTGTGGAGAATTGCACTTTCCTTCTTCAGACGCTCGCACGCAATTCCCAATCGTGTCATAAATTACAAATGATCCCACGATGTTGACGGAAATGTTTTCGTTCGGTTGATTTTTACATGAAACTTTTCGGAAAATATCGAGACGATTAACAATGTATCATCAAATTCAACAGAGATTCTGTTTGTATTACAATGGAAAACGGCATAACTATCTGCTAAAAAAAGAACTGAATTTCTTTTTTTTTCAATCAAAAAAACGACCTATTTTCGTCGTTCAGTTCAGCAAATGTTCACTATATGGTACAGAGAGGTGAATTTCCTGTCACACTGCTGCCGCCATCTTGATTTTGGCAAGGAAAACTAAAATGTCGCCAGTTGATAGTAAACAACAAATATATATATAGACACACATGCATTCATTCATTCATCCTCCTATCTTGTTGCCTTCGGTGAATCATCATAGTGAGACTTCCGTCTGGTTCGAATGGCTGGCTGAATGTTCTTTCTACTTCTATCTATTCGCTGTTTATAAAATGAGATATGTGATTTGTTTGATATTGTTTATTGTTGTTTTCTCCTAATTAAACTCTTTCGAGACTATTTGCTCGTTTGTTTTCTAGCGAAAAAATTCTTTCGGACTATCAGCTGATACAACGTCTGTTTTTGTTCTTCAACAGTTGTATTTACTTTAATCCATCGAGGGAATCGACTTCTTTCGACTTTAAATCTTGTTGTTGTTGTTTTTTTTTTCATTCTTTATTAAATGTGATTCATCAAATTGCACATGGTAAACTATGTTCTAGATTTTTTTTCCTTTCGTGCGCTTTGCTTTAGGCGCATCATCCATCATCCCGTTTTCTAAATAATAGCTCATTTATTTCCCACTGACAAGTTTCAATGACAGCAAAAGATCATTCGATTCGATCACCTTTACTTGATGATAATGGTCAACAGTCACTTGAATTATCTGATCCGACCGATCAGCAACAGCAACAACTACCACCGGATTATATTAGTTCAACTATTCAAGAGAATGAACCTTCCGACGATGAGGAAGACAACGAACAATCAGCATCTCAAATAGAAGACAACAGTATTTACGATGAACATGGTCAAGTGAAATTTCCATTGAACGATTTAATAAAGCTCGAAGAACAATTAAATCAAACTCGATGGGTTGTACCTGTCTTACCCGATGGAGAATTAATCAAGTGTTTACGAGCTGCAGTTCGTCTTGCGTCGCAAAGTAAAGATAGTCAGCTAATTGATTGATGAAAAGTCCTTCTTTCGTTTGTAGAAGTCGATACAAAAAGTGATTCTTGTCAACGATTTATCCGAGATAGTCTTGTAAATTCTTTTACTAAAGTTCTTTGTGATGAAGCTGTACAAACATGGAAACACGAAATATTCGTACGTGACAAACCTTTCTTCAAGTAGAAAAAAAATGATTTGATTGATGTGTTTAGAAATACATTTATCAAAATTGTATGGTTTTTATTGAATTGTGTGTATTAAAACTAGAAGATGATTGTTTGCCATTGCTTGAAGTTCTTGGTTTACTAATGAATCCTTCTTGCCGGTACGATTTGTTTGATTTTACTCTTGAAAATCAATACAGAAAATTTCTTTCAATAGATTTCATCAATCAAACCATAGTCGAATCAGTGATTTACAATTAGCGTCTGAAAAAGAGATTTTCGCTGTATCGAACGAATATCGCATGCAACAACGAGTAAGAGTTCGATGTGTTCATTCGAAGAGAATGATTCTAGGAGAATTTTTTTCGTTTCAGGGTTGGCTAATTGACTTCATCAATCGATTTGGAGATTTAGGTGGCTTTGATAAAATTTCAACTCGATTTTTATCCTCAGAAAACAAGTTAACCATCTCTGTTGTTGTTGCCTTACTCAAACCCTGGGGTCTTTGTTATGAGTATTTAACTCACACAACTGTTAAGAAATACTTTGCTCCGATTATTGTACGTTAGATTTGTTTGTTCTCTACGTTAAAGATTGAATTTGCTTTTCTGTTTGTAGAATTTTGTTCCACAATTTCTCGATCAATTAACAGAAAATGACCTGAAAATCGAAACGAAGACTGAACCGAAAAGTGACACATTATCAACTGTTATTAGATGGCTACGCTATCTCGCTTCACGAATACCGGACAACGAAAAAGAATGTCGAAATCTAGATACACTTAGACTGAAGATGATCTTAAGGTGAAAAAGACATGGAAGAAGATAATTCATTCTTGTTTGTTTTTCCTTTAGAATTCTTCAAACGAACTCATTCAGCGGTAAAATGAATGCTCTCAATGAAGTTAACAAATTAATCATGAGTCTTAATACAATTCAACGATCAACATTAAATCGTTCGGAAGAACCGGAAAGTTTAACTGCCGAGAAATTAATCGTAAGAGACATCGATTTTGTCTAATCACATCATTACCATCGATTTCTTTAGCAATGGATTCAAGAGAATCAAGTTCTCGATATCGTCCTACGTGATTGTCTACATCAGCCACAATATGTAGAGAAATTAGAAAAGATTCTTCGATTTATTATTAAAGAACAAGCATTAAGCCGAACTGATTTAGACAAAATCTGGAATTCATCATGTGGAAAGCATGAAGCGATCGAAAAGAACGTTCATGATTTACTTGCAAAATTAGCATGGGACTTTTCGCCTGAACAACTCGAACATCTATTCGACTGTTTTCGAGAGAGCTGGACGAAGGCCAGTAAAAAACAACGAGAAAAGTTACTCGAACTAATCCGTCGATTAGCCGAAGATGATAAGGAAGGTTTAATGGCGAACAAAGTGTTAGAATTGTTATGGAATATTGCTCATGATCAAAATTTACCAAATGAGATCATTGATCAAGCATTAACCGCCCATTTAAAGATTCTGGATTACAGTTGTTTACAAGAAAAGGAAAAAACTAAATTGATCTGGCTGGATAAATTCATGGATGAAGTAAAACATGATCGTGGCCATGTGATGATCTCGTTGAAACAATTAAGAGAGATCTGTATGCAGTTTCATGAAGGAGTTTTTGCACAAAATATCGCGCGAATGCCTGGACCGCAGAATCGAACGGGTGTTATTGATATCCTAGAGAAGAAATATGAATTAACTCGGGTTGTAACTGAAAATCTTTGTCAATATATGGAAACAGCAAGGAAGTATAAAGAAAGTGAAGGAAAAGGCAATTTGGTGCCAGAAGAGTACTATGCAGATGGTCGATTCAATCATAATCAACAAATTCACGAACGATTGAATTTTCTCAAGTAAAAATTTTCGTCTCAGGATGTGAATAATGGAAAGATGATTGGTGTTTTGTTTTGAAGGTTTACTTTGAAAGAAGGACGATTGTATTTATCAGCGGAACATTCGAAAATGATTTGGATTAGTCTAGCTGAACAGGCAATTTATCCCAATGATCGTGAACAATGTTTTCGCTGGTTTGCTGAAGTAAGGAAGTCGACATTTGCAGATGGCTAATTTACTTTTCTTTTGAAATTATTTAGATCATCGACGAAGATGATTTCGAACCAAAAGCAGCAAAAGATTTCTTTCAAAATCATTTAATGAAACTTGAACCAAATCTTCTCACCGATCTTGGCATGAAGTAAGTTTCTTTGAGAGATATTCGTTATTCACAAAACTATTTATGATTCTGTCAGTTGTTTCGATCGATTTTTCAAATCTGTCAATGCGCAACTAAACAAACTACAGCAAAAGCGTCGGTCTATTCGTTTGATGAACGACGAAGATCTCGTCGGAATCGAATATCTCTGGAAATTGATTCTCAATGGTTCCGACGAAGTCGCTGATCGTGGTATTCAATTAATGCGCGAGATCTATACAAATATAAGTCCACAGTTAAAAACCGATGTCAAACGTATTCATGAATCCTTCATAAGTGACTGTTTCGAACGTTTACGTCCAGTTTACGACAGTGTGAAACTCATGCATACGCAACAAGATTCCAAACAGGAATATCAACCTAAACTCAACTCATTAATACGAATATTAATTGTTTTAAGAGAATATTTAGCTGAATGTGATAATTCATATCATAAAGAGCGCTCGATACTACCAATGGCAAGGTAAGATGGATGGAAAATTGACGATTAAATTGTAAATATATGTTTCAGAGCATTTCGTGGGCGAGCAATGACGTTGATTATTCGTGTTAATACCGGACAAAATCGAACTGACGATTTCGAACATGGCTTCCATTCAAATGATACATGGGGACATATTCGACGATTCATACATAATCGGTACTATCCTGCCTTATGTAATCGAATGTTTCTTTCAAACAAAATTCTATTTAGATATAAATCGGCTTATGGTATCATTGAATTGTACCGTAACAATGAAATCATCTATTCAACTGACGATAACAGAACATTAGGACAAACTGATGATCGAGATCGAATTGTATGTCAATGAAAGTTTACTTCTAAAAAGAAACGAAATTCTGTTCCATGTAGACCGTGACAGCACGTTGGGTTCAACATCAGAATCATGGTGGTTCAAGCGGTGAAAGTAGTTCATCGGAATCAGAAATGAATAACAACAACAATTCATTAGCATCAACATCACATCATAATCGTAGTTCGGATTTCATCGATATCAACGCTGAAAGTGCATTACCATCTGTGGTAAGAGAAACTTCTTTAAAGTTTCAATTCGAAAAAACATTTCTGTGCGTTTAGATATTCTCTCAAAAACACGAATATTATCAATTTCTAATCGATATTGCTGATTTAGCTTGCAAAGAAGGTAATACTCGTCTTCGCGATACATCTCGTCATATTCTTGATTTGATACCCATGGATTCTCATGCAACCAAAACCTTAAACAGTTGTTTCACTCTCCTTTCTGCCAATAATGAGCAGCCCACAGCTGACGAATGTCTAGCACGTTTAAATCACTTCTATTTCAACGTATCACCTTCACAAATGCTGTATAATCTCAAGACAACATTAATCAACTTTCTACCAGCACAGATTCATCAAATATGCTTACAAAATAGTAATCATGTCGAAGGTTTACACGTTCGATTCTTAAACGCAGGTGGCTTAGCATGTTTATTAAATATCCTAACAGAAAAGCATTACACCGACGAATGCGATGTTTCTACGCGAAAGTCGATCTATTTCGTTGTTCTTTACCTTCTCAAACGACTTCTAATCATTCTCGTCATTTACCAATTGAGATCAACTCATGGAAGTACTCCATCGCCATTCGACGAATCCTTAGAACAAATTTTAACTATTATGCCAACGATTCCGTTACCAGTGATGAACATTGTCGGTGAACAACAACATATTTCAATGTCAGTGGAACAGAAGATTGCCACAACATTGATTGCACATCGAATGGATTATCCCATACCGAAGAATTCCTTGTTGCAATATCACCACATAAAAGAATTCATTCGACTCATCTGGTGTTTAGCAGCAGATTCGAAACAGAACTCGTTGGAAATGAATTTGAAGAATGATTTCAATGTTATTCACCAAACATTCAAACAGGAAAACTTTCGTCCGAATGAAAATTCTGAATTGAACGACGATAATGAAGAAGACGATGAAAGTCAATTAGCNTGAAAAATGTTATACATATGTTGGAATATTTTATACATAATGATCAACTTGTTATTGTACTTGAACGACCTGAACATTGTTGTGATCTATATGATTTTATTTGTGAACGTTCAGGCGGATTAGACGAACGATTAGCGCGAGATTTTTTTAAACAAATTTTACAAATTCTTAAAGATGTTCATGCGTGTGGGGTAAGTCGAATGGACTCGACGTTTGTTCCTCTTCTATATCTTTATCTTTTCAATAGGTTCTTCATCGAGATATCAAAGACGAAAATTTCCTTGTCGATATGCGTTCAGGACAATTATATTTAATTGATTTTGGCTCAGGTGCTCTTTTGCACGATGAAATTTACACAGATTTCGAAGGCACTCAGTGTTACGCTGCACCTGAATGGGTAACGTGTCGGAGATATTTTGGTCTACCACAAACTGTTTGGTCGTTGGGAATACTATTATATGACCTAGTTTGTGGCGATGTTCCATTTCCTGATGATTTAGCTATTATCAAATGTCAGCCTCAATTCCCCAACCATCTTTCACAAGGTAAATAGATGCAAGAAAATGCATGATGTCGATCAGTTCGTAGGAGTAGAAAGGAACAGCTTGGTATAAATGAATACGAGACGAGCAATTTGCATTCGCTTTTTTTTTGAGTAGAAAACGAGAAATATTAATTTAAATGAGTAGATCATGGTGACCTAATTAATAATACGTTTCTTTCATATCGAAAAATGTTTTTCTCCTATGGGCTTTCTTGCTCATGTGTATACGGTAATGAAAATGAAAAGAAAGAACATGTCTTGTCACGCTATGAGTGAACAGATCGGCGTAGTTTTTTTTAATTAATGAAACACATTATAATTATATACATGGATTGATTTTAGAATGTATACAATTAATTGAACAATGTTTATCAATAAGATCATCTGAACGACCGACGTTAGATCAATGTTTACAATCTGAATGGCTGAAACATCCTTCATCGAAAGACTTATCATTATCATTAGTATCACGTCGTCGAATGACTGGACATACTAATCATTCTCATCATTTGAAAGATTCAAATTCTCTACCCAAGTCCACTACAGGCAGTTCTTCGTCTCGTGGTAATTCCTTGTAGCTACAATTTTTCTCGCTTTTCATATTCCTTTACCGTCCGTCGTCTCAGTTCAATGATTTTCTTGTTTCTATGCAAATGACGTGCAGGTATACATATATGCACAAGTCTATTGTGTACATCTTTTCTTTCGTTTCATAATCTCATTTCTATCAGAAGAGAAAACATTACCATCAACAATAACTAATATTATTTGTACAGACAAAAAAAGCGCATTCGTTCGGCTCTTTCTTTATTTTTTTAACATGTATCCTTTATTTTTTTTTCTCTTCGCGTCTCTCTTGATACTGAATACAATGTAACAGTTATGTTATCGTTTGCAGGGAGATGAGTGGTATATATTCAAGTACATTTCTTCTTTTTTTTCTCCTTTTTTTTTGTTTCACTTAAAAGTGGTATGTACAAAGAGTACACATTGTATCATCGATTGCAATATTATTTTTTTCTTCTCTTGTACAAAGTTTTCTTAAGTGTGTGTGTGTATGATTTGTTGCACAGTGGGATCATTTTCGAACCTCATGCGCTCTGGATTTATGAAAACAGTGTATGATGATGATGATGATGATGATGATGATGATGATAAACAAACTTGTCTTCTTTTTTCCTGGTTCGTTCATTCAACTGTTTGACTTATTCTTATGTGTGCGTGTGTGTGTGAAAACTATTTAAAAAATACAAGAAGCATCAAAACAACTGATTCAGTTCTCATTAAAAAATTTAGTTTATTTCATAGAGACACTTGATAGTATATCAACGAACAGTGCATTTATTGCCTTGAGAAAAGAATTGTTTTGTTTTCTCTCTGAATTATATGATTTGGTTTGATGCAATAGTCGAAAAGAAAAACGGCAGAAGTTGAAGAGGAGAATAACGAATGAGCTATATTTATACAATCAGAGAAGTAAAAAAGTAAATGTTTGCCGAGGTAAAGTATGTCCGTTGGTAATAAACTAAAATGCTCGCGATCATTTCTTCATACGTAATTGAGGACATGCATCACAATCCATCTAGTTGCGTTGTTTTTTTTTATCCTGCAATACCGGTGAGAAAATAAATCCGACTAATCACGCTACCTTCTTAACACATTGAGCGGGCACGTGTCTACGCTAGACATGCACTGTTAAGATTGCATTCTACACTTTATGAGCTTTCAGTTCGAAGCTTGTTTGTTTCAATAACTTGTCATATCACAATCTTTGCATGTACGACCTGCCTTGTTATTATCATCATGATTGTGACAGGTTAATAAGTACAGATGAGATCTTCTTCCACTCCTGCTCTATTTTACAATGTATCCAATGACCGAGAGGAAAGATATACATATCTATCATCATGTTGTCTTTTCATTGGCAGACAGTTATTTGCTTCGATAGTAATATAAGATGGAATATGATGGGCGGTACTCATATGTATATATATACACACAAATATATATAAATATAAATGGGAGATATTCAAGCCAACTTCTGATATGAGAAGATATCAACACATATTATATCTCTTTTTCTACGTCAACACATCTATTTCTAAGCATAACACATGATCTAAACAATAAACGATTCGGATATATCTTTCAATGAATCAGACAAGGTTTCTCTGGTATTATTCATCTGTTGAATCCACGTTTCATACATATTTCTTCGTTTTTTTTTTATTGATAAGAGATAATGATGTACAATAGAAAATGATGGATTGTATTAAGTCTTTTGTTCGACGTTCGATTATATTTAGTCAGATACATTCACGATTTATTATTGTCAATGAATGGATACTCGACCTTGATCGATTAATTTAGATAGGTAACATAAAAAAAGAGAAAAAAAAAACGAGAAAGTGACTCTCAATGCACATGCTTTGTTTTCAGTGAGATTCATTCATTGCTTTTTATATGAATATGTCTGTGTCATAACACAGAACAAATAAGAAATGTATTGGATTAAGATTTAATCACAGAGAGTCGTTCGGTTGGTTTTGCAAAGCAAAATATGAGGAAGAAACTAGATATGACAGAAAAAAAAAGTAATTCATATCTGGCATATTTCTTTTTTTTTTCTAGTAGGAAAGAGAAAAAACCCATTATTGATAATGAAATCTAATCACCTAAATTTCCTTCGTAATTATTGATCAATTAGCATGAAATTTGTTCATAACCTATAACGAGTGCTAATCGTATGTCAGGATGGGCTCTTCTAAGCTGCATGACTCTATTGCTTTGTTGTGTAATATAGTCAAGGTTGTACAATATCTTAGCAAAATGATTGATGATTCTATTAAGTCTCTATTTTGGATCATTATGTTTAAGTACTTCACTCCAAGATTATCTATGAGTAAACAACGCAGCTGCATTCAATTTCTCTTTTACCTAAATTATACGTTGGTAAAGAATGGTATCTCATGACTCGGATTGCGCCCTAATTACATACATATGCCTTTTTGATAGCTATTTATCTTGCTTGAAATTAAAGTCTCGTTAACCCGAGAAAAAAATCATTTGTACACCCTAGACATCTTGGTACGCATAACCTTCAAAGATAATTGATCGAAAACAACTCATTGATGTCATTATTTTGCTTTAGATCAGAACTTAGCCGATCGCAGTGACTTTTTATTAGATGTGTACCTCCTAGAGTGTTAAGTACTGGTGGGAACTGTGGAATTCATGTACCGACGCCCTAAGCCAATTTGTAGTCCCGATTTCGCTTGTTTTGTCGCATATGACGGAAAATATGATTTGATGATCAACAATGTATCATGCATGACTTCATCGAGACGATGTTTTCTAAATCAATCAATTCATTTTTTGCAGACGATGAATGATTTCGTCGCTTGGAAGAATCGACGAAATTTCATTGAGAAAAACGTTTTCCATTAATAGATGCTATCTGATTTTCTTGATTGATTTGTGTTATAGTGGAGCGGAAATAATAAATGGATAAGCCAATAATCGATTTGCAATAGTCTGTTATTTCAATATCGTCGCAAACTTGGCACGATGACCTAGCAACACATTTCCTATCGCCTGATTTTATTCGAGTTGTTGTCTTTCATTGAACGAAGGCATTGTACTTGACAGAATTTTGTTCTATGAAACTATGTGGCGGCAAAAAAAATTTTATTATTATTATTATTACATAACTAAAAACAATAGATAAGATTAATCTGAAAACTGCTTTCATACGCGTTAGCACGTCGATTCTGGGAATAAGAATGTAAATGCCGCACGTTTGTTCTGAAAAAATTTCCCTTTCGTACAGTTAAAAGTCGTGGTTTAATCTGAATCTAATTCAATGGAAAACTTGGCATTAGATAAGTCGAGAAGATTTCAGATAATCAACCAGGCAGCGATAAACAAAGATATAGAAATGAGTTCGATCGACGAACGACATACGGTATTCACGCATGACTTTTAAAACATTTGCGACGCTGCTTTTCTAGAAAAACAAGAAAACGAAGGAGTCGGCGAAGAGGATTACAAGAAACTTACCTTGTTAAATGTTATACATTGAATCATAAGATGAAGGAGAATAAACATTCCTGTACGGCCAATTCTAAAATGAATTTTTCAACGAACAAATTCGTTCAATAATTTCTGCTTACCCAGCAGTACAATGAATGACACATGGCAATGTTTCACCATAATGTCGTCGAAATGAATCAACAAGATTAATGAATTCTAGAATCATCGAATGTAAAAGAATTCGGCAGAAGAATAAGATATACTCAGAAATGAGAGAGTGTCTAACGGCAATTGTTTTTGATTCCAAATCGAGTATTGTAAATGAGCGATTGATCGTGTTTCATGTGCATGAAGATTTTTGATCGTCAGTTGACGAAGATAAAAATCTCGATGATTCTTTTCGGAAATTAGTTCGATTTCAAAATGTTCTGTTCGATATTTTCTATCTTTGATCTTTGGAAAGTAATTTGTACCTAATTGAATTTCATTATCACCAAGGAGCATAACAATCACACGTACATTATAATCAAATATCATTCGCCAGAAGTCCGCTATTGTTAACAACAGCGGAAACTCTGTGGCTATGTAGGAATAAACCGTATTTTCAATACCAAACTAATCATGAGAATAGACACGAAATGAAAGACAAGCAAAGTGTACAGACTTTGACATGTGAGGCGTTGATATAACCATAGGGATTGTCACGTGTTGGGATCAATCGTACACGTGTGTCATTGTATGGGATCACGTCGATGTAACGATTTCGATATGAATTCTCGGATTGTCGTCCGTCTTCGTTGAAACGATTCAAACGACAAGATGGAATCGAGTTAAATTCATCATAGACTGCATCATTGGAAAGTTTCGATTCTAAATCGATCAACTAAAAGTAATTCATCAAAACAAGCATTCATTTTTTCGATACTAATCGTACCCAAGAATCCGTTGGTATATCTTCAGAAGTACTATGACTTTCAGTTTCGAATGATATCGATGAAGACGAAACGTATGTTTTATAATTCTATGAAAAGAACGTTTCGAATACTTTTGTTCATATTCACTGACATACCGATGAAGATTGACTAGTTCGGATTGAAGCAGTCTCAAAGGAATGTTGAATTGAATTCTATAAAAATCGAACGAGAATTATATGAAAGCTAAAGAGAGAAAAACATTAGTACATATGCTACATCTAATGTTGACGACATTGACACAGATCATTCGTCGGATAAGGTTGTGTATGGTAGGTGTACGTGGTAGAAACGAATTAAAAATGAAAATATTTCCTTTTGGTCAAATTGAAGAATGCGAAAAAGAAAAACGGAAGGTTCGTGCTCTTTTGTTCATACAATGAAATCGTAGAATGATGTTTATTTATTCTGTGAATTTCAATTGCATATGTGTCGATGTCTTTGACAAGTAAATGAATAACTTATATCATACTTCACATAGTTGTGTCCTTCACTAGAGAATATTCTTATGAAAAAAAAAGTTGAATCAAACGGAAGTTTGACCTTCGATGGATTACAGTCGGATGGAGAGCATCCCGTTTTTTTCTCTTACGTGTAACTTCAGTTGAACTCGTCTATAATTTGTCTTCTTCTGTTCTGTATGCAAGTATACGTAATCCACCAATAACTTCAGAGTAGGCAAGTCAAATATGCCTCGTGAAAAAGGTATTCGGATTTTTTTTTCTTTCGTGGAATTTATTATCAGAAGAAGGAAACAGTGTTTTTGATATCTTGTTCGTTTGAAGTCAAACTGAAAATAAATAAAGCCACTAGTAAACAGAATGGAAATACAGAGAAAGCATCATCACGATTCGAAAGAATAAAAACAAATTCAACCTATCAAACAATGAAAGCGTAGTGAGATAATTGTTCAGAGTTCATCTTCAAAACGATCAGTTGTGGCCGATTGTGAGCGACTATTGGAATTGTCATCCCGTGTTGATGATAGTGGTTCAGTGGATGGACGTATGTAAACACCTGCGTCAACTTTCCAAAGGTTTTGACGGTTCGCGTGCGAATAACAGCTGATTTCTTTTTGGCCTTGAATCGGTCGACCATATGTGTCACCGGACAAATGCAGATATCTAGAGAAATACGAAAGATGAAGAGAAGAAAACGCATCGCTTGCGTTATCTTACTTTCCAGTAACTACATGCTGAAGTCGCACCGGATCCGCTCTTAGCCAATAGTCATTTTTGGTGGTACAAACAACTTTCCAACGGTCACCCTCATCACCTACACCATCTTCTCCGTATGCCGATACTTCCTGATTATTTGATAGTGGTGACTGATAATTGTGACTGTGTAGATTTCTTCGCGTAGTAACATGAAATAAACGCACTACACTATCACACTTTATTGGTGTTCTACAACAATAAAATGATGAAATTTCGATCAAAGACAAAATTATTCTCTTACCCTCGCTCACAATCATTTCGGATATCACCTCGGACTTGCCAATAGCTATTGACATCGTCTGCATTGGGTGTACCAGTAACGGACTAGCATGAGAAAACGAAAATGCTCGCAAGAAAACGAAGAGAAAGACTCGTTTATTACTTGTTGACCGCTGCCTGAACCATATTTCACATCATGGGAATGAAGTCGATCACCCGATTGTTGATTCACTAACTTAAATGTTGAACCGCATGTCATTGAATCTTTATTGCTGGAAACTAATTGACAGAAAAGGATGAAGATTGACCATTGAAGAAGACTATTCATGTTTAACATCTTGTCAAATGTAATGAAATCAAAAAGAAGAACGGACAACAAAATTTCTTGTGGAGTTCAGCGATTGGTTCATTGACTTCATTCACTCGAAAATCACTTCTTAACCTCAATAATGATTACGAAAATATTCAATTAGAAGAAATTTACTTGATATTTCTCGATAATATTTTTATCTTATATTTGGCCATCTATCGTCAGACGACGCTCATCGACGGTAAACACAAATTCACCAATGGGAAAATAGGGTATTTGTTTTACATACATTAGGCAGAAGCAAGCTTTTGCTATTGCTTCAACCAAATCGATCAGTCGTTATTTTTGTGTTTTCATCAATATGTTTCGTCTTTTATCGATGTTGTCAACTATTCTTGCATTCCTTACTTTGATTATTTTCACTGCAGGTAAAATAGGCCATCTACTTCTTCTCATTTTTACAATAATTTCTTTCATTATAGGCCAGAATTGTGAATCACCACAATTCAAAGTAACTACATATTCAACTCAAGACGCTCGTCTAACTACCGAATCAACAGCTCAATTAGAATTTACCGTTAAATGTAAAAATGGCAAACAAGTAAGTTCCCTTCTTCCCAGTTACAAGCAACAACATGGTTCATATAGCCTAGTAATCTCTATGCTGATATCAATGGACAAATTATCCCATGTGCACAATCAGTTTCATCACCGGGAAAATACTACGTATGGCTGATGAACGACACCTCGACGAAGTTAAATTGATTTTTTTATTCTAGATTAGTAGCTCTGCTACGACTCATAAGCAATTAGCTAGAGGACGTATATCAGTTAAATTATATGATGACGATTCATATTCTGCCCTACGCAAAGTAAGTTATTGTTTTAGTATTAATAAAGATCTTCCTGACAAATGCTAAATTCTCCAGGCTCGAACTGATGATGCTATAAAAGCGGTTAAACCATTTGGTGAAGTTGACTTGATTCATTCGGTATGAGATTAACTTTTTCAACGGAACATTATTGCTTTCTTGTCCTAGGGTGAAAGTTATGGCCCATGGTTACCAAGTGAATTCGTTGCTGTTATTGTTTTCGGAGCGATATGGTGGGTTGCATATCGCGAACGATCAAAAATACTTGTTTAAACTGAACGAAACCAAACATTTATCTTCTCTTTTTTGTTATCCACTTTGTTTTTTTACTATTCGATCATTTTTCTTGTAGACATCAAATTGATTAGTAAAATTAGTAGATTTCTATCACATGTTATTCTTTGAGCGATCATAACTCTATGCACACAGATACGAGATCAAGGAAACGCTTCGATTATGTTGAAATTTTCTTCTCAAGAACATACTGAATGTTTATTTCTTGTTTCAGATGGATGCAAGTCGCAAAGCACTCTTTCAATCCCCTTATGTTCCAACTGCCGAATCAAGCATAACAGCAGGTGCGACAACGAGTAATAACCCTCTGATTTTAACAACGATTCATTTGGAAAATGTGACACAATTTTATCGTTCGGAAACGGAAAAAGAATTGCATTCTCAGCATTTACAAAAAATCAGAGAAAACATACAAACATTATCAGCTGACGCATGGCTTTATCAGGATCCGGATAAATTAATCGGTTTTCAACGTGTTACTACTCATTGAAACGAAGAAAACGCACAATGTATTTTTCTTGTTAAATAAATTTCATGTTCGATGATTTGTTAGTAATAAAAAAAAAGACAACGCACTCAATTCTCATTTCTTGTTCTAGATTGAATACGAAATAAAATCATGAATTTCTATAAACTAAACGAAGTTCTTCCACTTGTCAAGGACAGAGATTCATGTTTAGAGCATCGATCTCAAAAGATTCTCGTGCCATTACCGCCAAGTCAAATCGGTAAGAGTAAAGCAGGAATAAAAAAAATTCTCGAAGAAAGTTCCAATGAAATTGCGAAGAAGTGAGTTGCTTTTGTTGTGTTCTTCCATTGATACAAGACTTTTATGTCAGATTAAACGGATTTCTATTGGCGATTGGAAAGATTCAATTGTTATCCGATGTTGGACAAACCTTTCAAGACGAACCAACTCTTTGGATGCCTGTCAAACTGAATTTTGTTCTCTTTGTGCCCGAACGTGGCCGACGTGTCCGCGCTATCATATCAAAACTTGGCAAGAAGCATATCGGTAAAATTTTGCTTAAGACGATACGTTTTTTCTTCGTTTCTATTGCTTTCAATTCCTTTTAGCCTGTTTGATACACAGTCGTTTCAATGCGTCGTTTCATCGCGATACAATTCCGCCGATTTATCATAACTTTATCTTTAAACTAGGACAACCGGTTGTTCTAGAAATAATTGAATGTGATGTTGTTGATAAAATTCTTGATATTAAAACAACACTCGTAGAAGTCAATAAAAGTTGATCAAGTCGTTATGCAAATAAAATGATTGTGTAAATGCAGAAATTATCGCCATTTCTGATGAGTGCTTTGTTTTTCTTCAGATATTTTTTTCTTTCAGTAGACTCTTTCCTTTGATGAAATCATCGATGCCGAAGGAATTTTTCGATTTCATTATCAATTCACCTTGCAACAACAAGAACGCTTCAAAGGTAAATAAATTTCTATTCACTAAATATTCTAATACACACTATGCATGTCGATCGTAATCAAAAAGGACATTATGAGAAAATAAAAGACTCTTTCCTCTGTACTTTTTTCAGTGTAACGATCAGATTTGTCATTCTAATATGAAGCATAGAGAAATCACTGTGAAGATAACCATGGTATACTGTTTTCTAATGTGTACCGTTGGCCTTGTCCTTTCAATATACATCTCGCAGACGGTGGGCTGTGATGATGATGATGATGACATCATCTTGCTTGTTTTTCTTTCCTAATTCATAGAAGTGTAAGTATCGAGAATACAAAGTAAATTTCAGACGAAAATAAACGTACTAAAATCATTCGTAACGTGGTAACTCCTCTATCAGTAGTCATTTTGAGCGAACTGTATGAAAAATTTTGAAATTAATCGTTCTTACAAAAGCATTTTAACTTTAGAAGAAATAATACAAATAAATTCGTGTTTGAAAATTGCAAAATGAATCATGAGTACTGTCGAAAGAGAAAAATAAGGCCATTCTCCCTGCAGACATTTCGTCACGTCTTCCAACGAAGAAGAAGACCAACATATTTTGAAATGTCTGTTTTTTTTTAGGATATAAAAAAAGGAATCTCTGGTAATCGAGCTGCAAAAACAGATAAATGGAAGTTGGAACATTGATTCACAACGCAATGATTATAAATGTTACACTTTTACTAATTTTCATGCGACTGAAGGGTAAAAATGACACTTTTCCTCAAGAACTATTTTCAATTCGATTACTTTCTAGAGATACATGGATATCTAAGCTGCGCTGGTGATTTGGTGCCTTGCCGAAATAAGACACATTGTATTCCTATTGAAGATGTTTGCACTACTTTTCGTGATTGTATGACCGGTGATCGGAACGAAAAACCAGTCTGTCAGTATTTACATCAAATTCGATTGTTCCTGTACAATATAGATAACTACTTTTTAGGCCACTATTGCGGTAGAACTTCGAGACAATCAAGAGCATGTCTGTTTCAGATAGATAAAAAGTCGGACTTAGAATTCAACTGTTTATCCAAGAGTGTACTGTGCACTGAAGAGGACGATGAAAAACGTTGTATGAATGGTATTGATAGAGATCCGTATATCTGTGAAAATCTCTGCCGAGAAAATGAAATGCATTGTCCAAGTGGCGAATGTGTTCTTACAAGTCAGGTTGAGATCTATTCTTGATGTAATTTACTGTCTGTTTGAACGGAATATTTCTTTTTCGCTCATATAAAGAAATGTGATCAAAAGAAAGACTGTTACGATGGATTTGATGAAGAAAACTGTCCCCCTGTAACCACACCAGGTAAAAACAAACTTTTTTCGAGTATTTTCTCTCTTAACTATAAATATTCTCTTTTCATGTCAGTTTCTTCGCCAGCCAAAACCAATCCTTCATCTTCAGCGCCAGTTTCATATATTTGTGCACTTTCAGCAACTCCAACACATGCCGTATCTTTGCCAATCGATCATGTTTGTGATGGATAGTAAATAAGACGAAAAATTCGATTTTTATTTCTAATACACATCGAATTAAATCACGTCTTTGTCTTTTTAGTAAAGACTGTCCAATGAACGATGACGAAAGTTATTGTAATAACAAATGCACTTCAAGTTCACCGTGTCCATCAAATTCTGATGCTACTTGTCTTGAACATCCTACTACTCATAAACTTTGCCGATGCAGTAAACCAGGCTACAGAATATCCGCGAATACATCAAAATGTCAAGGTAATTGTCAAATTTTCTTTGAAGTTTTTGCTATCAATTGTTCAATTGTTTTCAAATCAGATTTCGATGAGTGCACTGACTTCTTTCGCGATTATTGCTCATTCAAATGTGCCAATACAGATGGTAGTTACAATTGCTCATGTCCATCGGGTTTCACCTATAATAAAGATACAAAAACATGCCGAAAGGACCATGGTATGCCAACTTGTGTTTAGAATTCGATTGAATATGTTCTCATATTTCGATAAAGATCTGTCTAAGCCGGATTTACTAGTGGTATTGGAAGATCGCATCAATCTGTACAATATTCTCAATTCATCTGATTCCTACACAGCGAATTTACGAAATACTATCAGTGTTACAAACGGTTCTAATATAGCTTATGTACAATATGATCCTCTGCAAAAGTTCGTTATCTACTATGATTATGTTCGACATTCTATTTTGTGGTGAGATATTTGAAGTGTTTGTTATTCACGTTAGTAATGTTCATTTCGATTCTATTTTTTAGCAAAAAGATTGATGATGGAAAAACAATTGTTCTTCTTTCGAATCTCATTGTCCATGGTTTTGTATATAATGTAAACGAGAGAAATCTATTTGTACTTGAAAGACATTCAGACGCCTTACTAATGTATTCTCCAATTACTTGTGACACTCCAAGTAATATTAAGATGCATTCGTGGATATTCGATGATTTAACTGATGGTACCCACGAAATAAGAATGGACATTTTCAATCGAAAACTAATTTTTGCTTCGAAGTTTAATTTTATGATATCCGATATATCTCAACCAAATGTAACGAAGATTGTATTCAATGCGACTTTACCAATCAAACATTTTCTTTATGGTATGAAAATTGACAGTTGTTCAGAGCGACTTTGAATTCTTTTGTTATTAGATTCTTTGTTTGAGCGCGTCTTTTGGACGGAAGCTGATGGTTATGATGGTCAACATTTTTCTGTTTTTACATGCAACAATCAATTTAAGCAATGTCACAATACGTCCTTTCGACTGCCGACTTCGATTTCATTCGGATTTTTTAATGTAAATACTCTATTTGCCATTCAACTAGATTTTTTGTTCATTCAATACCACTATTATACATTTAGGATGCTTTACTCTATTCAACATTAACAAAGAATGCCATAAATGTTTTTCAACTTTATGGCACGCGTCGTTTTACTGATACATTCATGGTGCCAATGGAAACTAAAATTCATTCGTTTCTATTACTCGATCATCAGCAAACTGATCGATTCAATCTATGTAGAACAGCTATACCAGCACGTTGTCCAAATCAACTCTGTTTACAGGTCAATTCCACAAACACTCAGTGTTTATCAATCGATGGCGAAAGAACATCATACAGTCCTAACGAATCAACCAAAGATGATACTACTGTTGCTACAGATACAAGTAAACCAAAGTCATACCGATACCGACCAACGAATACAATCCTTTTCTTTATTATTGCAATTACTTGTGGAATATTTGTAAGTTTGACTTCTCAATTGATTTGTAAAAAAAAGGTTTTCTCTCGATTGAACAGGTGGCAATATTACTCGTCAGAGTTTTCCATCGTCGTTTACTATTCAAGTCCTCTCAAAACCCAAGCGCACAGTTATACATAGCAACTGAGGAACCCAATCTCGATGAATTTGGACTCTCGGATGACCGGGTGAGAAAAGATCCTGCTGTTTACGCGCAAACAACTCTTATCAATAATCCTAGCTTTCTTCTTTTCGGACGTCGTAGAGAGTCTATTTGAAAAATTGATTTGATTTTGTTTGTTTTGTAGAATGGTGACCGGCTTCCATTAACCAATCAATTATATTACTAATTCAATAAACACTAGAGTCTCATACTAACACATACCGTGTCAGCATTTTACTTCAGGATCGCTGGAATTATTTTTCTTCTTCGGTTTTCATACATTCCGATTTTAGGTTTTCCTAAAATGAAGATTTTCTTTGAAATTTTATTTTAAGCGTATGTTTTATTTGATTTCATTGTTATCTGCAAATCCGTACCATCACACCCGTTTTGTAAACATACTAGAATCTCTGTATTGGTTGATTATTCTGTTAATTCTGCTTTTCATCCTTTTGCTACAATAGTATTAAATATAGTTATACCTGTTTTCAATCCTTTGTCTAGTGTAAGGATCACACAAGCCCTGAAAAACAAGTCATACGAACTTTATCCTAGTTATTTCTTTTGTTATGATTTCAAAGAGAATTATATATAAAATGATCTTTATCGTATTCTTACAGTTGATTTAGTCACTCATTGGCAAAGATAAAGTCAACATCATATGAATGAATTTCGGTGACAAAATGATCAAAGAACAAGCTTAAGAGATGAATTCTTTTGTGCAATTTCCATTAGACGTTGTCTGGTGTCACCACCAAGTTGATTGCCTGCGAGATTGAGTAAAGTAAGTGCCTGAAATCTTGTTAAATGTGATCGAAATAAAGATCAAGATTCGATTTACATTGTTTTGACGAAGACCTTGGATCAAATATTGAGCGCCTTGAGATCCAATCTGATTATTTTCCAAATCAAGTAAAGTTAGAGTCTAGAAACAACAGCGCGAAGTTTAAACGAAGTAAATATTTGAAATAACTTTGTTTTGTTGTAAAGCATTGCCGAGAAACCGTGCTCCTAGATTACCGATAAAATTCGACCGAAGTTTTAAACTTGTCAATGTCTAAAGACGGCATTGATCTTATAATAATAAATGAGATATACGTTGTTACGGTATTTTCTTGTAAAACAGCGGAGAGATATTTTAGCCCTTGTGCTCGAATTTGATTTGAACGCAGATTCAATACAGTCAATGTCTATTTGAGAAGTAGTTGTCAACAAAAGTTTCAGTTTCAAACTAACTCGATTTTGTGATAAACTGTTGGACAGATGCTGTACTCCTTGATCACTGATGGTGTTGCATTCAAGATTGATACTGACGAGTGTCTTCAACGTATGCATAGTTAAAAAGGAAAGCCATACAATAGCTAACTTACCGTGTCTTGTTTTAGTATATCTGCAAGATAATGTGCTCCTTGTGGTCCAATAAGATTATGATGAAGATCCAATGTCACTGGTGCCTTTGCAAATATCGAAATTTACTTTGAATTAATGAGAAATACTTTGCAGAAGTTACTGTGTTTTGTTGCAACGTTGCTGCAAGAGTTTTGATATCAGTATCGTTGATTTCAAGCCGAGATAAGTCTAAGTTGATGGAGTTCTGCGAGGAAAGAAAGAATATGTTTGTGATTTCTTGTGTTTCTGACAAGTATTCCAATTGCCAGACAAATACTTACCGGTTTTGTGATCGAAATTCGTGTGAATTCTTTCAATTTATCATTGAACGATGTGGGCGATGAATTTTTCGGTTGTACCATCGTATTCCCAATCAATGGTTTGAGTCTTCGTTTCGGAATCATCGGTTTTGGTGTTGGAATTTGATAATGAGTAGCATTTGGTTGTTGTACACTAGGCAATATTCGTGATGGAATAGGTGGAAGTCTTGGAACAGCATATTTGGACGGAACTTCTTTTAGATGGATAATCGACAAACCATTCCCTGAACTAAAAGAACCCACTACTTCGAATTGACAAGCAAATGGCAGCAAAACATCGGCTTTGGAATAGAATGAATACTGTTGAATATTTTTACTCGACCGACAATCGATAATAAACAATGTTCTTGCTCCGTTTCGTCCTAGAACATCCTCACTATTCAGTTCATCGATCGCGGTTGTACATTTGGTAAATCCCCACCAAGTGAATATTGTTTTAGAGGGATATTGGGTGATTAGATTGAGTTTAATAGAACGATATACAATCGGATATGAGGTATCCGATGGAATTTTGGTCAAAGCAGTCAGAATTAACTTCAAGTACAAATACCATGGTTCCAATAAGACTTCATTCATTGTCTGCAGTGCTGTATCAAGAATAACAGCGAATGATTTGTCTTTTGGTTTCCATTGCAATGTATACAATAAAATTGATGCTGATTCATCAATTGTACAGTCATCGGATAGAACATGTACAGCTTTTTTTACAGTCGTCACCATTTTTTTCACTTCGGGAACGAAGGACGCAACAGGGGCGGTTGCTTCTTCCAACGAAACAATCGGCAGTTTTTCATATTCTCGAATGAATGAAATGATTCTTTTGTGTGGTGCATTGAACAAGTTCGAAATCTCTTCAGATGTGTCGCTGTGATTAGTAACCATCTACAACCAAAACCTTCAATAGAGAAAAAGTTTATCTCCGATGAAGAATAGTTTAGTTTTGTTGTTATATTACATTTTCGTTATCTCGAAAAATTCTGTAAATTTTTCTTTGCACATGTGTTCTTGATGCACTACTCTCGAAACACTAAGATGGGGCGTTTTGTCACACATATTTAGTAAACAGAAAAGAGAATTCTCAAATAGAGTTTTCATCATCTTGTTTATTTCTTTCTTTCTAGATAGTTTTCTTCGTATAACAAGCCATCATCATGGTTAACATGCAAAAACAACAACAACAACAGAAATAGAATAAACATGTCCACTGTACAGAAAACGAATATACAAACAAAAAATACAATAAATATGTACAAACTAAATATAATACAAAACTAAACCCATCATTCATTCGTACAAATGTGTCTGACCATGGTTAGTTCGACTTCCAACACACGCCTTACAACGGCAACATCCTCCAAATAAAGATCGATCAATCGATTGAATGAGTAAATACGGTTTCAACAACGATTTTTGTTTCACATGTGCTTGATAGACCTACAAGAAGCGATCATAGTTCACGAATAGAGGAGTAAATGCCACTGCTTCTTACCTGCATACTACGACCATTGATAACTTGTCCATCCATTGCTTGGATAGCTTGGATTGCATCGGCTTGCCTAGGATAGGTCGATTTATTATTCGATATGATACTGAAAAATTGAACACATACTTTTCGAAAGTAACAAATCCATAGCCACGGGATTGACCATTTCGTAATGGAATTTCTACATCGTACACTTGACCGAACACCTATGTAAAATTCAATAGGTTAGAATTGAGAAGAAAACTCATATGAAATAGTACATACACTGAAGATTTTTTCAAGTTCAATAGTTGACCAATAATATGGAATATTCGAAATCCAAAGACGCATTGGTGCCGATTGTGTTTTCTGAAGAAAAAAAAATAATGACATGAACAAATGAATGGTTCAGGTGAAGCGTATACTTGTAAAGGATAACACATGCTTGGTGATGGTTTGGTTGATTGTTGAAGACGAAACATATTGCTTGCCAGTAAAACAAATGATGGGAAGATAATGCAAAGAAGATGTGCTTTATATACCCATCATTAGCTATCATAGCTCAATAAAGAACAAAAGGCAACCAAGAAGTAACCGTTACGTATTCAAACGCGACCTAACCGTTACGGACGTATAGGTTGATTTTCAAATACAACGGATAAGTTAATAGCCTGTATTCGTTTCTATGTCGGCAGTGAGAGATCAAAGCGGCACTTTGAACTTGGTTAGTCTGGAATATATCCAATAGCCGTGTACAACGATCGGTCAGCCGATCTCGACTAGCGCGAAATGTTTGCTCTTTGATCAATAAAGTCGTTTGAAAACGCATTGTTACCAGAAACTGTATGAGCTTTTTCACATGTTCGTGAAAGTGATATCGATCTTGGTGAATTACGAAGACGTAGATTGATTTAATGTCTATAGATTTTTTCTTCGATTTCGCAATCGAAGGGCATTTAAAGTTAATCGCAATCAATAGAAAATCTGATCTGTCTCTCGTTTCTACATATGCACAGCTACTTGGATAACTGAAGATTGTGCAATTAATGATGAAAACTCTTCTCAAGCTCAGTTGAGATCAGAAATTATCTGAAAAGGAAATATTTATTTCTCTTGAAGAAGAAAATTCAGGACGAATTTATTTGCAAATACGATTTTCAAATCAATCTATTTACTCTATGTGAAAACAGAACGGTAAAATTGATATTTAATTCAAGTCCATCTCTCTGCCAATTGATCTTGAAAATTCATCTATTGATCACTTCGACAACAAGTCAAAGATCTCATTTCAAAATCAATATATCCTACACTCGGTTTTTTTCATCACCAAAATCTATGAAATCAAATTTCTGATCATTTGAAGATTTATAACAAAACGAGAATCACATCATGACTACAATCCATAACTACACAACACGGCAAGCTGTAAACTTTCCAATAAATATCTTATCAGTTAATTTTTTACGGCGAACTTTCGTATATTTAGGCTTCCATTGGTCTTCAACCTGGCAATTTAATTGGTGAAACGCATTATATCACTGAAAGTCAAATAACACCACCGATAAAGCAGCGAGTTCGAAGTAGAAAACTTCTCAGCGTAAGATGCCAAATACAATTCTTGATTTCATCACAAATTCCTCTCTTTTACGTAGACGAATATAAGTCGATGTCAATGCTGTTGTCCACCGATCGCATCATCTCTGTGTCGTTCATGTCTATGTCCTTGTTGGGCATACCTACTCATTGGTCTTCTCCTAACTCTACTGTTAGCAGCTTTAGCTGTTGAGATCGGTCTATTAACTCGTAAGCTTTCTCGGCTTACAATTGTCGTCTCTATGGTTCCGATTGATTCGTTTTAGGTGAGAAAATCATCTATCGAAGAGTAGTTTGTAATAATATATACAATTCAAGCTACATCATAGATCGAAATGACAATGACACAGTAACAGTGTATACGTCTACAAGTGAACCATGTGGCAATCGACCGGATGGAGCTATACTCGATTCAGGATCATCCGTTTGGTCATCTTTTACATATATATTTCTTCTCATCAATTTTATTGCTTATTTAATTAACTACTGAATGGATTTCTTTCTAGTGCATGAAAGATTATGAACATTTTTTTCTTTTTTCCCTGAATCTTTTCTCTTCGATCTATAAATAAAAATATTCATTGACACGAGAGGGCGCCAGTTCGATGATAAATTAGAAAAAATATTTCCATTTTCTCTCAGAAAATGCTAGATGTACAATCTAATTTGTAGATATGTGAAATGTAGTTAAATTTATGGCAAATTCAAGTCTTACCATTGTGTTCGTTGCTTAGCAACGAGAAACAAATTTTTTCTGCGTATTATGTCGTTCCGTTGTTGTTGTATTTATCAATTTCTATAACAATTTTTCAACATGTTTCAAACGAGCGCACTTCGTCGACCATTTGGTCATCAAACATTGATCTACAATTGGCAGGAAGAACGTGCCGACATAAAAAAATGAGCGANGAATCCGAAGAACAATATAGCATGGCTTTACGAAGTTTCTTAGAATCTATTGAAAAAATGATAAGTAAGTTCTAAGTGAATCTTATCGGACACGGATTGATCGATTTATTTTAGAAATGCACACGTTAACAATCGATAAACTACTTGATCAATATGAAAAAGACGTCGAACAGGTGAAATTTGAATTTCTCGATGAACGTGAAAGGATCATTCGAGATCACAATGTATCAAAAACGGAATTACAAGATATTATCTACAATATGGAAAAAACATTTCTCGATACCGAAACAGCAGCTGAACAAAACTTTCAAGCGAACATGGAAGAGCTACGTGACCGAGTTCGTTTTCTCTTTGTGATCCGGACGTTCATTCTTTTGATTTTCTTCTAGTATCGAGAAGATATTCAACAGTATCAAAGCGAAGTTGAAAAACGTACACAAGACCTACAGAATGAAATGACATCATTACAAACGACGTATAGAGAGGAAACAAAAGATAGAAAAGCTCAATATCAAGAGTATAAGATGAAAGATGAGAAAAGTTCGAAAGACATTCGCGAAGCGACGATCTATATCAACCGAATGACTGTAAGTAACAAAGAAAAACACGTCGTTATCATCATTCTTGTCATTCTAGGAAAAAATCAACAATATTAAAGCACAAATAGCATCATTAGAAGCGAATCATCAATCTCGAATGCAAAAAGTTCAACAAGTAAATTTCATTAGATTTGATGGGTTTATATCGAAATGTTTTATTTAGGAAAAAGATAGTATGAAACAATATCTTCGTGATTTGAAATTTCAATTATCCGAAATGCAAGAAGAATTACATCGTCGATTAGTTAAACTGGCATTAACATGCGATGCAACGCAGAAGAAATTAGAAAAACGAGTTAAAACTGCGGAAACTATTTTAACATTTGCCGAAATGTGTCGTAAATTAGAAGCCGAAGAAGAGAAAGTCCTTCCGTTTTATACATCAACCTTAACTGAAGAAGAACGAGCAGAAGTCGATGCCGCTTTCTACGAACAACCTTTCGAAGAATTAGCTAAAGTGAGTTGTTCTTTCCAGTACTTCTTTTATATCGACTCGTTCGTCTTTCAAAGGATATGTATACCTATGATTCATTGGAAACATTTTGGAAGCGATTTGGCAAAGTGTCTTTGGATAAACTCGCTTTGGAAAAAGAACGAAGTATTTTACATTCAGAAAACATGCAATTAAAAATGTTATTGAAACAGTATCTCGATGGTATATCAGTTAATGATGAAATCATGAGTCAAACTAATCCATTGATGATCTATTCATCCAGACGTGTACTTGAGTACGTATTCGATTTTGTTTGTTAGTCGTATATCGAATGATTTTCTTGTAGAAGTCAGTCGACTACAAATCAGTTACCAACTACTCGACCGATAAAAGTGGTTATTGAAGCTCAGCATGTGAAAAGCGCCTTTTGATATGTCTATTTGATCTTGTATACGTCTTTTGTCTGTTTTCATATATATTTTGCGTAGTCCGTCTTTTCGTATTTTCTAATATGAATATCCTCTACTTGATAAAATGAAATCTTTTTCATACGTGAAAGAAACGAGGAATTAAAGATTATATTTGAACTTTCTCTTGTAAGTGTTTTTTATAATCTCTATAAAATCGAACATCCGTATCGTTTTCATCTCGTGTTAACAGTAAACGTTGAATGGCTTCGTCCGTTCCTTCGATTGCTTCAGGCAATCGTTGTAAACGTTCAAGTACAGTAGCCATACTGTAATATGTTACAGCAACGGTTGCGTGGTTCGACGGATGTAATTTCAACTCAATTTCCAGACATTTCTGATAATTTTCTAATGCTTTGTAATACTGATTAAGTCGAAATTGTGCTCCAGCAAGATTGTGATATTTTGTGGAAAGTTCAAGATCGTTTCCATTTGGATACAATCGTTGACGAATTTGTAAGTCACGTTGAAGATAAGGTAGTGCTTCTTCGTATTTACCTTGCTTCACAAGTACTGAAGCGATGTTACCAGCATAAGCAACAATGGAATCTAAGTCAGGATTTGACGATAGAACTTGTATATCATATGCTTTTCGATGGAAGTCAAGCGCTTCGGTATCCAGTCCTTGTTTATGATAAATACTTCCCATATTATTATATGCTGGAGTTAGTTTTAGATCATCAGGTGGCAAAACACGTAAGTAGATTTGAAGAGATTTTTGTGATTGTTGAAGTGCACGATCGTATTGCTTTTCTTCGTAATAATAACAGCAAAGTATATGATATAAACCTCCGATAGTTAAATTCACTTTCGGGTCTTGTATGACTAATGGATGATTGCTTAGTATATCGCAAACATATTCCATATTATGAATATCTTTCACATGTTTCATTAATTTGACGATTCGAAGTAAGAGAAATGAATCATGAATTGTTGCATAAATATTCTTTGTTATTTCTTTTGTGATAATAAATAAATCTGCGTTAACTGAAAGTTTTATGACCGGAATGGTTCTATCCCTTTTTTTGACACTTGAAATACGAAATACAGTTGCAGCTGGAAGAAGTAGTTCTTCTGTATTATTTTGAAGTTCAATCATAGGTATTTGTACGTCCAGCTTCATTTGAAATAGAACGAAGATAACATCGGATTCTGGAGATGATGACTTCGATTTTTGTTGTTGCTGTTCTGTCGTGTCTTTAGTTTTATGTGCAAAGAGAAAGGTATTGAAGATCATGAGACCACCATTATTTTTTAATAGTGTTTCATACAGATTATGAGAGACATACTGAGCTCGATAGATCGTTGTTGGTATTGACAAAAGATTTGACTTCATTTGATGTTGAAGATGTTGTATATAGAAGCGAAGTTTAAAGAGAATATACGGATCAGGTAAACGAAATGCTCGAAACAACATTTTGAATAGAAACGTCTTCTGGCGTGTGTACCATCTAACAGCTTCTTGTGGTCGAAAATCATGCTCAAATTCATCAATAAATTTTAATTGTATTTCATTTCCAGCATATTGTTCACGGCAGAAATCTAACATATCCTTCTGTAAATCAGTTGTATCATCCGTCTCCAGTATCAAATCTTTCAACATTTGAGTATAAATAAGATTTTTATTAATATTCGTATCATTAGACAAGACGGATGAAATTGCTGTTAGATTAGTTGTAAATGACACTAGGTCTATTTCTAGTTGACGGCATACTTGTCCCAAATTAGTATGAATGCCTCGAAGTTTTAGAGAATTATGTGCTTCTTTTGGACCATCGTCGACAATGTATATTGAGTGAAGTTGTGATAGATCACGGATGTGTTGTGGTAAATTTTCTAGAGCTGTTTTTGATAAAATCATGATGATTTGTTCTTGAACGATATCGGTTATGTAATCGATACAGGACTTATCAATCGTATTGTCGATTATTAACCCTGAATTGATAAGTCCCCGTAATTGAATTTTATCATAATCGGATATTTCGATAGTACTGTCCAAAATGTAAACAAAATTTTCGACATTTTTCTCAATTAGATGACAATTGGTTGGTAGTGAATTTTGTAACGGTGGTGGAGTTTCTATAAGACGAATAATATGTTGAATCAGATGAAATGAAGGAGAAGCAAACCTTGTGATGAAATCGATTTGGATGTCTGACGAGATGTTTCGACATCTTCGGTACTATTCGTATTAGTTGTTGATCTATATGTTTTCAATGAACTGGCGTCCGTGTGAATGATCCAATCTTGGATATCTTGATTTTGATTGGAGGATTTCGGCGATTCTTTTCCTTCTACAGAAAAAATAATTTTGTGCAAAGAAAATCACTTAGAATGTGTTAGTCTCACGAATAGATTTTGGATTGTGTCCAACAGTATCATCGGTACTAGTCGATGAGGCATGGGAGTTGGATAGTGTCTGTTCAGTATATGATTCCCTATCATTATTCAATGCTAATTCCAGAAGATGAAAATCAACGGATTCTGATCTGTCTAGAAAAAAAGACGCGAAGATGTCACCATTTCGTATGCAAATTCTTGTGAATTTTAGCACCTGTAGTGACTGATTTGCAGCGTTCCATTTGTGTACCACCCTTTTCTGTGAACAACAAATGAAACTTAGAAAAAAATGCGCTGTCATGCTCTAAGTGCTCTTTACCATAATCATAAATTGAATTTGTAGTCATTGATTGTCTTTTTGATTGTGTGTTCTATGATAAATCAACAGATTTTCAGTTGAATGAAAATCAGTCGGAAAAGAAATTACTTTTATGTATCGGCGAGCTTCCTTAAGATGCGAATTCTGTTGATTGGAAGATTCATTAGGAGGTTTATAAGCCGAATTTGTAAATCGGGATGGAGATGGCAACTTGTATTGACGTATTTGTTGAGAATGATTATCCACTGACTAAAATGAATCGACACAAATGCAAAGAACATTAATATTATTCATCTTGTGCTACAACAAATCTCCGAACTTACATTAATTGCCGTCGAATTACTGCTCTTTGGTGATAATATTTTCCGAGAATATCTACTTCGACATCTGATGAAAGTCGACGTAGTACTTTTGTTTTTATCCGAAAGACATTCAACTCACTTTTCACATGAACTAACATTTTGAATTCGTTTCACTAAAAATTGATCATGTTCACTAGGAAGGCATTGTTGTCTACTGTAATGATATTCACAACAATCATTTAGTAGACTATGAACTAATCCTTTTGTGTAGTAAACTAATGCTAAAGGAGATGTTGCCCGACGTTGAATTTGAAACGAAAAGGAATCTAGAAAATATATATGATGAATAAAGTCCATCGATAATCGTAACATACCGCCTTTGGCTAGAAATCCTCGATACACGATTGTATTATCACCAGTACTATGCTGTTGTACAATAACGATCTCATGACGAATGGTTCGTGTGCTGTAATTAATAGGTTTCAATCCATAAGACATGGTTATTTTACATCTACGATTTTCTGTCGAATTTGTATCGAGTTGATTTGGCTAGATGATGATGATATTTTGCACAAGATGTTAGAATTATATGATGAAAGCTCACTTGATTAGTACCAATACGTTCCGAATCAAATTCTGGCGTGTTCTCTTCAAGTCTTGATTTTCTAACATGCGCAGAAGTGACTCGTGGCTGCTGTTCACTCTTATAATCGATTTTCTATAATAAAATAGCAATAATATCTTGACAATGATCCCTCATATGTTACCTTCGCATACGTAGGTGCACTTTTCTCGCGCAATTTTTCATTTTCAGTTGATTGTTTTCGGTGGCGTCTGTCAAGAAGCTGATCAAAACGAAAGTAAATATTTCAAACAATATCCTTTGTCTTTACTTGAAAATTATCAAAGGCAGCTCGACGTGAAGCGATTTCAAATCGATGATAACGACTAAGCCGATTATTTTCATTGTTTTTCAAAGCACTAAACAATCTTTAATCTAACAAAAACTATTGAAACGAGAAGATTCTCAACCGTAAAAGACTTTCTGGTGTAACGGTATCATCTTCTCTGCGTTGGCGTTTTCGAGGAGACAGTGCACAAATAGGTGCATTCTGAGAAACAACTTGTCCATGACTATTGATCTAAACATCAAACAAAAAATTCTTAATGCAGATGAATTCCAAAAGACCGAATTTTCCTGATTACCAAACCAGCATGACGAAGTTGAGGTCGAACATAAGGTGAGGTAATCACTGCTTGAAGGCGATAATCTTTTTTAGTATAACCTGACCTAGTGAAACCGTATAGGGAACACTTTTGAGATATGATCGTTGCGTACGATTCGTATTTACCGTGTTTGATTTCTATCCATCATCGGTCAGCTTATTCTCTCTGAGAATTTCGTAGTGTTTTCGATGCAAAAGTGCCAGTTATTTATTTCGAAGCGCGTCGACAAGTGCACACCATAACACTGTGATGTTTCTTGCTATTTTTACCCGTGCCGAAAAGAACAAGTAATGGAAATATCTGCAGCATTTCTTGAGTAAACAATTGAAATTCAATGAAAAAGTTTTAATAGAATTGTCCGTTTGTATGTTTTTCTAATGAAGAAGAATAATAGTGTTCGAAAGGTAATTTATGAATTAAATATTATATTTTAGATAAAGAACAAGAGAAAAAACGAAGCAATGAAGTGTCGGGTACGATTTATTTACAAAAAAAAGAGAGAAAAGTAAATAAACTTACTTCATACAATTTAAATAGAAAAGAAATTTTCGCCCATTTGCAACACTTGTTCAAACAGTTGCTTTGACCTCTTCTATAGAGATAAGATAATTGACGAAACTCTTACGCGAATTCAAACGTACACTAGTAAATGCATCAGTACGAAACATTCTCAGATTTTTTTGTCTGTATAGATTGTGTCATGATGATTGAACATGCTGTTAATTGAAAGAAATTTAGAAACATCAGTATTCAATTTTGATTAAACAGCTCCAAACATACTTGCATCTCGTTATGACCACGATCTTGACTATCTACTTGCCATTTAGAATTCTTGTGGCTAGCAATTACGATTGAATTAATAAATGACTGACGAACTATTTTTCCGCTTGAATTTGTATATTTCTAATATGACGTTTTACCATGGTTGATAAAGTCGGTGTACTTAATATAAACCCATATACATGTGTATTAACGCATTTGTTCTCATAATAAATATAAAAACTACCAAATCTAAGTATCATCCGTCTCTTGAAAAGAAGTGGATTTGTAGGTTAAATGTACTTTCCAATAATCAGTGTGTACTATAAACTTTGGCGTGTGGGTACAAACTGATTAAGTTATTCTCTTTTATAAATCACAATAATCAATTGGGTTGAGACAAATAATTTATATGAATCAGAATTGAATAGATTGTTTAATCACACTGCTGTAATAGAGGATGTGTTTGTTCATTTGATAACATGAGTGCGTTTCTTGTTCAAAGAAATCTCGATAATAAGGAACATCTGTGTGATTCCGCCTCGATGGAATTAGACGAGCTTCCATAAATGAAACGTTGCGATCCATTTTCCTTCTGAATAGATTCACTTGATAATTAGAGATAAAAAGAAAGAGTTAGTTAAAAAGAACACTAATTAGTAAGAAATAATGTCGACAGAAAGATCATAAGCAAATTAAATTCCAAATACGTCAGTTGTTAATTCAAGCCAACAAATTCAAAAAACGTCATATCTCTCCTTTTTTAATCTTTTTTTTCTGACACCACGTCATTCCGCACTCATGTTTCTGATGTTCAGTTCAGCTTTCGCCTAGGTACCAACATTCACACAAGACTCGTACGCTTCGAACGTGCCACTTTCTGTTAGTCTCACGAAGTATGTACCATTGAACATTCACATCCTTCGTAAGAACAAAATATTACATTCGATACATTGTATGTCTTATTAGTGGGTGTGTGTCACCTAGTTTTCGTTATATATCATGCGCTAAGATTGGATATAGATATCATGAACTTCGCTAATAGACTTCCTTTCTTTGGAACAGTGTACCAGTTATTTATACTTGCATATTTCCTAATTTATAGAAGTAAATAAGGAAATGTTTTCTTCAGACATCTGATGAATGAAGAGATCATTGATAATTGAGAACTATTTTTTCCCCAGCTTGAGCTGTCAATAAAACGTGTAAAGCAACAGCTAGGTAGAATTGTTTTAAAAGAATGTGAACCCACGATATGATAAACTGTTTGACATTAGAAAGAAAACGTGCTGCGAATTTTACAAACTGTATTAGCGTTGTTGCCAATCACTGAGCGGATCTATTGAATACTGGAGTATAGTTCATTTCACCTAATCTTTTAGAAAAATCTCATAAGCAGATTAATATACTACGCATATTACTTGGTGTTAGAATTGATTACACAGTTGCTTACAGACTTGGTTTCGCGTAATCCAACTCAATAAAGTCTCTGCATTCTACTTGTTTAAGATAAAAATGTTTGATGACACCGTTGTGCACACACCAACTCTCCATGTTATTCTAACTATTATATCACTCATCGCAACGATTATTGGCACAGCGATTTCTTTTATGATCTTAACTTGCACTTTGTTACGAAAAGAAACATTCACCAATGTTCGACTAATGTTATGTACGAATAATTATATTGCAGTATTTTTTGTTGGCATTGTTGAAATCGTGCATCTCGTCATTGTTACTCAAAGTGATTTTGGCATTACTGTCATTAACATCGAAACCTTAGGATGTCGAATTCGAGCTTATATATTGTTTTCATGTCTGTCTGTTGTGTATCTGGCATGTGTATTGCAGGTAAGTTAAAAATTGAGCCATACTCTGACTATTTTGACGCATCCATCTATATAGGCGATGTTTTGTCTTTTTCGTATTATTTATCCATCTGTTTTATGGGTCACCGAACCACGTATTTGTCTAGGGATTATTCTATTGAGTTGGATCGTCTCATTTACTTTAGTCAGTCCTCTGCTGATTTTACATGGTCAAAGACTAATTCCAGGCGAATATACTTGCCGCGTCCCGAAGGATGATTCGTTTAGCATTGCTTATTCAACATTGATTGTCTATGGTATACCATTTAGTACTCTGGCGTATATTTATTTTCAAATCCATCGATTTCTACGAATTCAAGCAATGTCAACACTTATTGTCAGTGTACGAACACATCGAGATCGTCATCGATATGTTACTGTCTTTCGTCGTATTATTGTCACTGTTATGTTATTAGGTGCTTTTGGAATGCCAAATTCAGTGATGCTTATCATATTAGCTATAAAAGGCGAACTTATTTCATCATTCTACCGTATTCTTGATATGAGTTTTGCGGCATTGGTACTGACATTGAGTATTGCACTTTTATATATTAATCCACATCTGAAGAGAAAAGTCAAATCGATTCAGCACCAACAACATAAGTCCAATAATCGATAAATACGAATCAAGCTCATGTAATTCGAAAACTGTTAATATGATGACAAGAGAAGTTTTTTACTTATGTATTATTGATTTTTTCATATAAAAATAATGAAAATACGATGACTTATTATCGCTAGTTTCATTTGTAAATATAAAACATTTTACCAGGTTGTTTTTTCGTAAAGAGTATTACATCCAATACACAGAGACGAACGTATCAGGTTGTCGTGCTTGAGCGTTCTTTTTCTTTTACTTCCATTGTGACACGTGTCATACTCGCTGTCTTGGTTTTTTCCATTTTGTCGTATGGCGAACGCAAGTCAGCCACTTCCTACAGCTAACGTCGTATGGAATAATTTATTGGACGATATTGAACATCTCTTTCAATATCAAACAATTCGATATTCGAAATGGATGACTCTTTACACGTCTGATAGCATTCGAATTATAGGCGTATAAGAAAACGATCTCGTTTTTTTTCTATTTAGCCATATTTTTGATTATTGTACAAAAAGAACACAATTATCCGACAATCAAATTTTATATCAACAATTTGAAGAATATCTTGAGAACTATCTAGAAAGGTTTTGTCAAGTAAATCTTTCTTTTGATTTTTATTTGAAATTTTTTAAGCATGGACTTCTATAGTCTGCCCTTCAATCACCAGAACTAAACTTTCTTGAATGCTACGTAAACCAGTGGCGAAGATACTGCCGTTCCAGTAAAATCTTGCATGGTATTTGTTCGTACTTTCATCGTTCTTATGTTCATCGAGAACGAAATAGCGGTAATGATCGTATTCAGGAGATCTACCCGGTACGTCATTAACGTCATTAGATATATTCTTAGTATTTCACTTTAGTTAGCCATGCAAATGTGGCAAAACATTGCCTGTCGGACGTTTCATACTCATCTCGCATTTATTTGCTTGAATATGATTCATGGTGAACGACAACATCAAGTTATCGATCGAGAACTTCTTCGAAGCGTTATTCAGACATATAGTAGATAGTGATCGAACAGAGTCGTCTTTAAATTTCTTTCCGTGTTTATTTTAGTCTCATTTTATGTGGATGAAAGTCGAATTACATTGGATACGGATGAGAACCTATTAAATATCTATCAAGAATATTTCGAAGAACAGTTTCTACATGATACCATTGAATTTTATCGATCGGAAATAATGAAACATCTTCAAGAACAATCCATCCTCGAATATATTCTAAAGGTTACTAACTAAAACATTCGTTCTTATACATAAAAGTAAATTTTTCTGACACATAACTTAGATTCCTCAATATATTAACGAAGAAGTTTACCGAGCAACGTTTTACTTACATCCATCGACAATTGAAAAGCTAATCAAAAGTCTTGAACAAGTATTTATTTGCGATCAATTGACAATCATCTATTCCGAAGCCAAAATACTCGTACATAATGAAGATATTTCCAGTAATGAAAACAAATTTGACTTCACAGTTGATATGATAGGCTTTCTATTCCAGATTTGAACCATTTATATCAGATAATCATGCGTGTAAAAACTACCAAAGTTGAATTAATAGAAATCGTAGAAACACATATTTATCAAACAGCAATCGAGACAATCCAACGAATTAGTCCATTATCTACCATCGTAAATTCTTCGATTCTAAATTATCAAATATCATTTTGCGGTTTGCTTAGGACTTACACGTTTACATTGAAACGATCCATAATCTCCATGACAAATATCTCGTATTTTGTCAGAAAGTATTTGATAATGATTCAGATCTTATTAATGTTTTCCATCGAGTAAATACTTTCATTTTTTTGCAGCAGTTTCTCTTATGTATATACTTAGACTTGTCGCAGATTTATTAATGATAATGTCATTGTTCGTGCAATGGGCAACACAACAAAAATGTCCGAGCATTTAGCGTATTACTGTGATAAACTTCTGAGAAAAACGTTAGAATATTTTCCAATTAATTATTTATAATTTTCTTGTAAATTTAGAATGAAAAAGGAAACCAATGCGGAGAACATTTTTCCTCAAATTAAGGTATATGTTCTGTAACACTAATAATACTCATATTCCAAATATTTTTATAGACTTTGATATACTATATCTTTGATAAAGATATCTTTATAAAACTGTATTCGAGACTTTTAGCTAAACGACTACTCAATCAGTCGAACGTGGGAATCGAACATGAAAAACTAATGGTTTCTTATATTAAAGTGAGTAATTTCATGTCAATAGTATTTTTCAGTTTTCTTCGTACGTGAACGTTTAGGATACTTGTGGATATATGTGTACCCTTCGGATGATACAAATGTGTCGTGATATTGAAACTAGTGTCAACGTTCTTTGTCAATATCATAAATATTGTCAAGAGAAACAATTTTCTACGAAAAGTTGAGTAATAGAAATGCAAATTGCTTTATAATTACCCGTTCTGTTTTAGTTAAGTTCAATGCTATGATACTGAAATCGGAATTTTGGTCATTTTCGAAAGCACACAATGTTATTCTTCCCTATGATTTCAATCATATCATAGACTATTTTACCAACTTTTACAACTGTGTTTACAGTGGACGGAAGTTGATATGGTTTCATCAGCATTCGAAGGGTGAATTACAAGGATATTTTCAGAATAGGATGTACACATTTCAAGTAAAAATGAGTATAGCGAAATGATTCTCGTTTCTTGATGGAATATTCAGGTATCAGTCTATCAATTGATCATACTTTTACTATTTAACAATCTCTCGGAGTATTCCGTGAAAAGAATTCAAGAAGAAACACAAATTCAACTTGATACACTGCTACAAATTTTAAACGTATTATTCAGATCAAAGATTTTAACATTGAAAAAGTCTGTTGATCAACAGGAATTGCATCTTGATGCTATCGTACAATTGCATGAAGATTACACTAAGTACACAGCAGTTTTTTACTAATAGATATTATTTATATGTGCGCAATTCTTCAGTGATAAACTTCGAGTGAGTTTAAACATTCCAGTAAAATCTGTCGAACAAAACGATGCAAAAGCTTTCCAAGAGGAGATTGACCATGATCGAACGATGATGATTCAAGTTTGTCTTACTAGAACGTTTATTTGGGAACAATTTGTTATGTTTAGGCTACGATTGTACGAATAATGAAACAAAACGTGGCAATGGATGAAAATCTTTTGATACAGAAAGTCATAGAACAACTTACTTCGTATTCTAATGTTGATGTTTCTGTGATCAAGGTACGAGATGAGTTTTTAATATCTACTCTCGATTTGGTTTCTCTTGGATATTTAGAAATGCGTTAAGATTCTGATTGAAAAAGAATATCTTGAACAATACGCTGAACAAACCAATATTCTTCTTTATAAAGCTTAAATAACAATCGCTTTGTCTTTTTCAATTGATTTAATCTCACAGGAGTTTAAAAGTATGAGCGATTCTTTAATATAATAAAACATTAGTACTTGATTGTATATAATCAAGAAACAGCAATGTTTGCCATTCTTTTTCATAGAAAAGACTATTCTATCAGGTCAACATTAATGTTTATTCCCTATATTGGTCAACCAACAGATGTCACTTCTCTTTTCTCTGCTAATAGAAATAAGACATTTTCTATTGAATTCTCAAACATCCAATAAAATCCGCCCTATTTATTTTATTGTTGTCTTGTTGAACACGTGCGTGCTGACTGACTGACATATAGTCTTAAAATCGTTTGTCTTCAGCAAAATGAATACTCGAGTATCTATGTCCGATGCTCTATCAAATGTAGAAGTTCTCTACGAACTTCCACTTATTGATTCACAGCCGAGTGTTGAAGGTGCTAATAATGCGATTGTCTACGAAGCCAATCTCGATACCAACTTCGAAGATAAAACGGCCTATATAACTGGAATATCGAAATATATTGAAGAAGCTGTTTTACATGCAAATCTGGTAAGACTAAATCTCGATTTACTTTTGTGAATAATTGATCGATTCTTTTCTATTCAGAGTCTTCTACTTGAACAAGGTTATCAACATGCAATGACCCTCTATACCTGGCGATGTTGTTCACGAGCGATACCGACGGTAAATATCGGAAAAGATTCTCCTAGATTCATTTGATGAATGTCTATAAATTCATTTCCCTAGTTTCTTTACCATGTACATTGTAAGTTCGAGTGTGCGCTCTAACGTGATTTCCCTGCTTATTCTACTTTTTTTTCTAATGGGAGTGGAGCATTTGCTTAAGATTTTTCATTTGAACGTGATAGACTATATTAATGTTTATGTAGGTTAAATCACCGGAACAACCGAATCGAATTGAAATCTACGAGAAAACTGTGGAAGCATTACAACCAGAAGTTGCAAAACTCATGGCGATTATGCATTTTTCTGTGAGAAGTCATTTTGCTGAATTCAAATGTATAATAATGTTCCATGTTTAGATGAATGCTGTTGATACATTCTGTAATCAAGTTCGACGTTTGTGTCATCATGAGAAACGCAAAGAATTTGTTAGTGAAGCGTATCTATTGACTTTGGGAGAATTCATCAATATGTTTGCGGTACTTGATGAATTGAAAAACATGAAATCATCTGTTAAAAATGATTATTCAGCTTATCGACGGTAAGAACGAAGAGAAATTGATGAGTGAATCAAAATTTCTATTCTAGAGCTGCTCAATTTCTACGAGTGATCAGTGATTCCACTGCACTGACTGAATCACAGAATCTATCCATGTTCTTAGCAACAAATGATAAAATTCGCACTATGCTCAAAACATCTTTAGCTCAAATCGAAGGTAGAATAATCTTTCTATTCATTTTCATACAATAAAATTTCAATCTATATCAGGTTATGAAGAATTACTTGCTGATGTTGTGAATACAAGTGTACATATGTTTGAAAACAAACTCTATTTGTTACCGAATGAGAAACATATGCTAGTGAAAGTATGTTTCATGTCTGAGAAGTGTAATTCGAAAAATAATTTTGTTTGATGATAGGTCATTGGTTTCAGTTTATTTCTGATTGATTCCACAGCGTGTAATATCAATAAACTGGATGGAAAGAAAAAAATCAATGTGAGCCGTATCGATAAAATCTTTAAGGTAATATGTTAGAAGAAGAAACATATTGAAATTTTCTTATACGATCCATCGGAAACAATTTAGACTGTCGAAGTTGTTCCATTGTATGGTGATATGCAGATTGCACCGTTTAATTACATAAAAAAGTCGCCGAATTTCGATCCGAGTAAATGGCCGATTTGTAATGATGCATCGTCATCATCAATGCAAGGAAACCTCCTTATGCAACTACCAGAAATTCGAGAGGAACACGAACGATTCATTGCTGATTTAGCTCGATATACAAATGAGGTAATACATTCTTCCTGAATTTAGTACAAGACATATCCACTTTTTGTTTGTTTTCTTATAGGGTGCAATACAAAAAGTTATGAAACGAACTGACCAAGAAATGAAATATTTGTATAATATGGCGTTGACAGGTTTACAATTATTATCCAAATGGACTAATTCGATCCTTGAATTGTAAATCGATATCATGTCAAAGCGCTGAATCTCTAGTAACGATTTGTTCTGTTCCTAGATATTGCTGGAAACTTCTTCATCCAGCCGATTATCGTAAAAATACAAGTAAATACGAAGATGATGGCGAAGAATATGAACGTGCTACACGATATAATTATTCGAGTCAAGAAAAGTTTGCTATGGTGGAAATTCTTTCTTTGATCAAAGGCTTACAATTACAAATGAATCGATTGACAGAAACATTTCACGAAGCCATATGCTCAACAACATACAATGAATTGCAATTGTTTGTTCAAGTTCACATCCGGGATATGATTAAAAAAGTAACACAAAAGAAAAGGGATCTAACGAAAAGGTTCGTATTCGATTTTGATGTGCAATGATAATGTTATTGGTTCTTTAGTATTCTGATTGCGGTGAGAGATACATGTGTGGATTGGTTTACTGGAAATGGTGAAGCTAATTCGATTGAAGAAGCACTGGCATTAGGTCTGAAATTGAATCAAAATCATGGTAGTAAAAAAGATCATAGTGAATTAAATCAACTGAGATTAAATAAACGTTGTGTGGGACCATCGAGTACTCAGGTTTGTCAATTAGTTCTAAAACGAAATATAATGAAACTATGGACTTTCTTTTAGCTTTATATGGTTCGAACAATGATTGAATCACTTTTAACGGATAAGAGTGGCTATGGAAAACGAACTTTAAGAAAAGATATTGGTAAGCAAACAGCGACTCTTCATGCTAAGAGGATTGTACGTTCTATTGAAATTGATTTGTACTTCAGATTATACCCATTTGTCATTGATTGAACAATTTCATAAACAGTCATTCTTTTGGGATTATCTTCTCAATTTAGACGGTAAATTTAGTTTTAATCAGTTTTTAAGTTATACTATTTATTGCCATTTAGCCACATCGAAAAAGTGTGCTGATTTAAGTCAACTTTGGTATCGAGAATTTTACCTTGAATTAACCATGGGAAGAAAAATTCAAGTAAACAAATCATTTTTCACTTCCATTTTTACTGGATTAAAATTTTCTCTTCTTCATTTATAGTTTCCAATTGAAATGTCAATGCCATGGATTCTTGCTGATCATATTTTAGAATCAACAAAACAGCCAATGATTGAGTAAATTTTCGAAGAATTTTATTTGATGCTGAAATCTTTCTCTCCAATGAATTAGATATGTATTTTATCCAATGGATCTGTACAATGATGCTGCTATGCATGCATTAGTCGTCTTTCGTAAACAATTTCTATATGATGAAATTGAAGCTGAAGTTAATCTATGCTTTGATCAATTGGTTTTCAAATTGAGCGACAAAATTTTCACTCATTTCAAGTGTCTAGCAGCTTGGTAAGCTTATTATACATTAGACGAAAATCTTTTGTTGAGTTGACTCTGTACAATTAAGCATGTTACTCGACAAGAGATATCGTTCGGAATGTCATATGAATGGAATCAAAGTCGTTTTTCCGTCAGCCAATCGTTACGATTCGTTACTTAAACAGCGTCATATTCAAGTAAGGAAACACCGCTCAAATCTTCTTCATTACCATCAGCTATCATTTAGCTTCTCGGTCGTTCAATCGATCTAACGTTTCTACTAACTCAACGTTTAACATTATCTTTTAAAAAATCACTTGAAACTGCTATTCAACGCTTCGAATCTGTTAACATAACAGGAGTCATTGTAAGTTACTGTAAACTTCGAATAATTTTGGTATTCTGTATTTATCCTACAGGAGTTGCAATGTCTACTCGAAGTGAATCGTTTGACTCATGAACTGCTCTCATCATACTTAACATTGGATAGTTTCGAAGCACTTGTCAATGAAGTTAATCACAGTGTTGCAAGTGCGCTTGGCCGTATAACGCTACATATTTTCTGGGAATTAACTTATGACTTTCTTCCACACTATTGCTATAACGGAAGCACAAATCGATTTGTTAAGACACAGCAACCACATGTTAATGAAACAACGCGAGAAAAGATGTCACGAGAAATCCCTGATGTTCAACTATATGGAACAAGGGAACTTAATCAAGCGTATGATATTGTTAATAATCTCTATCGAGGCTTTGTCGGTGTCCAACATTTCCGCGCAATGACTCGATTACTTGGTTATCAAGGTATTGCGGTAGTTATTCAAGAAATGTTGAAAGTGGTCAAGAATTTGGTATGAACTTGGAAAGAATGTTTTCGAAAGATTGTATCTTTTCCTTCTAGTTGGATAAAACAATTCGTGAGTTCGTGGAAAAACTACGTGCTTGTATGCCGAAACAATGCAAACTTCCACGCTCTGATTATGGATCACCGGGTAAAGATTTCCATCGATAGTTGATTTTATAATTGCATTCTTTTATTTCACAGCGATTCTCCAATATTATCTTCATCAACTTCATGAAATAATACATTATCCGGCATTACAAGACGTATTTCATTGCTTTCGAGAGCTTGGAAATGCGATTCTTTTTTTTATTATGATTGAACAAAGTTTGGTAAGTGAGAAGATTCATTTCCTACTCATGTGTAGTATGTACGTATTTTGTAGTCTCAAGAAGAAATCAAAGATCTATTGCAAGCAGCACCGTTTCAAAACCTTATCCCACGTCCGTACGCCAAAGAAGGAGAATCACTTGAAGCAAAAATTCGACGACTTGAAGCTAAATATGCTGCTATGTCACTCGTGAATATTATTAAAAAACTTGGCACAGAAAAGGTCAGTAATACTGTCGATACGATACTCGAAAGATATGTCTAACGATGCTTTTTGTTTCTAGCAAGGAAAACTTGTCGAAGAATCTGATCTATTAACACGCGAGCGTCTTTGCATTGGTTTGACAACATTTGAAGTGATGCTGGATCGCATTCGTTCGTTTCTTCTTGACGATCCTGTATGGACAAATAATTCAGCGTCAGCAATGAATAGTAATATAAGTCCATTGACAAACATCGATGATACACATGATTTTCATCGTATATGGAGCGCATTGCAATTCGTCTATTGTTTACCAGCACGTCATGAAAATGATTTGAATGTTGAACAACTATATGGTGAAGGTTTAAATTTTGCTGGCTGTACAATCATACGTTTATTGAATGAACATCGAAAATTCGAAACATTCGATTTTACTTACCATCTATTCAAAATAAATCGAAGTGACCAAAAAGAAGATGAAGTTAAAAATGTGGTAAGAATAGACCATTTTTAAAAAAAATAATTCATTCATTGATTTTGATTTTTACTGCATATATTTAAGTCTTTACCAACGTTTACGGAACGCATACGGAAATTTCAAATACTTAACCAACAAATATTTGCTTGCCTCAATAAATATTTGTGTCATACTACAACAGATGAAATACCTGTTGAACAAGTGAAGTGTCTAACGCCAATGACATTACAAACAATTCAGTATGTAAAAATAGTTTTGTCAGTTATGTCGTAAAGCATCTAAAATTTCTTTTTTGCGGTTAAATAGATCGTCGATGCCAATTTATCAGCATAATCGTCTTCCAGGAACAACGAGCGAATGCTAGTCTATCTTTATCCACTAATCTAATCATTTTTCCTGTATATACAAATATCGTTGTGTGTGGTGTGCTTTTCTCTCATTCTTTGTAATTCAAATTCGATCTAAATAAAAAAATAAATATCTATTCTATGTTCTTCTAGATGGTTGTCTTTTTCGATCATGAGTTATGAAAAGGAACGATTTGTATCTTTTGTTCCTATGAATTCAAGGCGACAACCAATCTCAACAAAATTCAAACTGCGTTCACCTGAGTATATTGCCGGCTTTCTTTCATCAGCTACCAATATTTTACTAACTTATCCAGTAAATAAATTAATTTTTCGTCAACAAATCTATCGCCTTAAAACAGTTGACGCATTTCAACAACTGAAGGATGAAGGTTTCCTTGTTCTCTACCGTGGTATGGCCTTACCATTAATACAAAAAACATTTTCTTTAAGTATTATGTTCGGTGCTAATGCACACTATCTACATATACTACAATCATTTTCAAAAACCGATCATTGGTATCATCAACCTATAGCGTCTGCTTTAGCTGGTGGCACCGAAGCTGTTCTAACGCCATTAGAACGAGCGCAAATTCTACTTCAAACACCAAAATATAATACAGTGCTTCGCAATGGTTTACATGCCTTTATATTGATGTATAAGCATTATGGTATTATAGAATATTATCGTGGTGTAACATTGATTCTGATTCGAAATAGTGTATCGAATATTATATTCTTTGCCAGTCGAAAGCCTGTGAAAAATTTGTTACCTTCAGCTTCAACCGACTTTCAGCATTCACTTTATGATTTTTTAAGTGGTGGCTTATTAGGTGCACTTCTGTCTACGTTTACATATCCGATAAATGTTTTAAAAAATATACAACAATCTGAACTGGGTGGTCGTCACGATCGTCCAATAAAAATTTTTCGTTTAGTCTATGAACAGCGTGGAAATTCATTTAAAGAATTTTATATTGGTGCCAAATGGAATTTCATACGTAGTCTCGTATCGTGGGGAATCATCAACAGTACCTATGAGTACTATTTGACAGTATTCCAAAATACGATCAATGGTGATGACTGATAGTGTTAACTGATCTGAGCCGAACATCTTGTCCACTGCCAGTGACCCTTGCATGAATAGTTTGCAAAATGAGATATGAGAGAAACGACAATCGGGTATATTTTTAGTTTACTTTTCTCAATGTGTTTTGCGACTCATCGATTTGTGTGTATAATCCCCGTGTTTTTTGTTCATGTCTGTTTATTTTCTTGTTGTGTGTACATAAAATATCGATGACGATTTTACAAGACTCGATAGTCAATGAATTGCATCTGTTAGTCTAAAACTCTACCAAGAAAAAAAAAGATAAATAACAATGAATGAACAAAACCTAGCAAGACAACTTTGTTCTTCCAATTAAATCTCATCAATAGTTCGTTGAAATGAAGTTTCAAGATAAATTTATGTTCTTAGTGTGGCATGATCAGTGAATAGCTAGCTTTACCTGCTTGTGCACGATTTGACCACATCGATTTGCGACATCTACTTTCTTCGGTTTCTCATAACAACAGAGGTAAATGCTAAGTGACACGTTGCTTCAGCCCTATTCAGTATTTCATTCTGTGTCTGCCATCTTCACGTGCTTTACTTTCCAAAGAAAACAAAGTCAACCATGGTGTTCAGTAAGTCATCGTTTATTTCACACCAATCTCAAACATCTGACTTACCCCGATTTTCTCAGTTACCGAAAGTCTTATACGAAAACGAGCGGAACACAACGAGGGCGAGTTATCGACACTTGAAGAAGTGTCACTTCATCAACAAGATATTGAACGGTAAATCATATGACTATTTTACTTTGCAAACAACGTACACACCCTACTGCCTCTTTGCAGAATCGAACATTTAGACAAATGGTGTCGAGAATTACGTATTCTCTATTTACAGAGCAATCTCATTTCCAAAATCGGTACGACTCATGAGACCAAATGCATATCATCGTTTGTATTCGTTTTCGACTTTGCATAGAAAATGTCGGTCGATTGAAAAAGCTCGAGTATCTCAACTTGGCGCTAAACAACATAGAATACATTGAAAATCTCTCAGGTAACTAATCATACCCAGACAGAATCGCTCAGTCATAAACACTATTTCTAGGATGTGAATCATTGAATAAACTAGATTTAACATTGAACTTCATCGGAATATTGTCTTCTATTGAAAACCTTCGTGATAATATTCATCTAGCTGATCTGTGAGTGGAACTGGACTGTCTCCGAGTCGCTCAATGAAATGAAATGATATTTATATGTAGATATCTGACTGGTAATCCCTGTGTTGATCACGAAGGTTATCGCGAGTATGTTATTGCTACATTACCACAACTTCGAGTGAGTTATTTCGTTTCGAAGTAGTTCATGAGGAGTGTAACGATAAGTGTTTAGAGATTAGATGGAAACGAAATCACGAAGACTGAACGAATTTTGGCATTACAGGTACATTGGCTTTGGAAAGTCGTTCGATTCTAGTACTGACCAGTGCTCGTTTTATACTTAGAAATATGATAGGATTTCGAAACAGATTGAAGAACTAGATCAAGCGTATGCAGAAAAACGAGTAAATCATTGTTTGGAAAACTTTCTTCTAAGTCTAATTTCTGTTTTTGCTCAAGAAAAGCCAAGTCGATGACTATGCACGTACGAAATCCGAACGAGATGCTGATGAAAAGTATTTTGAATGCTGACCTAGCGATACAGAAGTCTTTGATGTTTGAATTTGTGTGTACAGCTTTTGGGAACGACGAACAGAATACACACCTGAATCACGTCTTGAAACACACGAATCTGTGAAAAAGAAACGTGAGCGTGAATCAAAAGAGTAATGTTTCAAACGAATCTAGATTCATTTCATTCACCTCCGTTCTATAGTACAAAAACTGAGTCAAAACCTGTTCGTCAATATATGGGTGACGATGGTCATCCACTCAATTGCAATGAACCAAAGTAGATCAGTATTCATTCGAGGAGATGTCCTTCATCAGCTCATATTCTTAGAGTCGATTTCAAATTGTATGAAAGTGACGATGATCGAAATATCATCCTCGATGTTGCTGTCTTTCGTCATATGGACACGTCACTTGTTGATATTGATGTTCAACCTACCTATATTCGTGTTTCGATTAAGGGAAAAGTAAGTTTGCTTGGTGAAGTTAGTGTACTTTTTCCAAATACTTTTGTCACTATTCATAGATTTTACAACTCGTCTTATCAGAAGAAGTAAACACAACACGTTCCATCGCTGAGCGATCCAAAACAACAGGACATCTAGTCATTACCATGCCCAAGGTAGAAATCACTGATCTATTCCATACTTTTCTCAAACTATTCTTTCCAGATCAATGTTAAAGAATCCAGAACAACAGTTGAGAGCAAATCTCGAACAACAGAAAACAAAAGTGAAGAGAACAAAAGGTATGGAAGTAGATTTTTTTCATACTCACATCGCAGCTCTCTTGTTTGCCTACACTCTATAGTTCAACTCCATCGAATTATCTTGAACTTGATTCTCGACCAGTGAAAAGTGTCGATTACACTCAGATTATTAGTCAAAACAAAAAGAATGCGCAATTGAAAACAAGAGCAATTCCACAAAAAGAACGAGAGAATTCTGCTAATTTTATTGATGATCCTGACGTGCCTCCACTGATCTAATCAGTCATCCAAATTGTTACTAATTTTTATCTATAAAATTGCGAGTTAATATTAGTCTTTAAATCTTCACTTTTGAAATGTCGTCAGTTACGAGATTTTCGAATTTCAAAGAAATAAAAAGGAAAATATAGGGAAACAATGTCGGTATAGACACATGTTGATTTGATGTGGTCAATGTTGCGAATCTCTACAACGATGACCGAATATCGCGTGTATTCGCCCATCTCCTAATTCATAAACCACTACCTTTATTTGTGCACGCACCCACAGATTCAAACTTCTCACCCTGAATGTATTAGGTACTTATTATCAGCGTATTATACAATTAATATGTCTTTTATAATAATAGCTTCTGATTGAAGATGACGCTGTACTACTGCCCATCTATGAGTGGTCATTGCTCATTGACTTTGTTTTATTTGAATCGGTCAGATAGAAAATGTATTTTTGTCAATCGACAAATCGTTTATTTAACGATTGTAAGGAGAAACTTGTTTGCCGTTTATCACAATGCTGCAATTTGAAGACGTTTCGAACGATTTAATTCTGTGTGTTTGGGATCATTTAGTGGCTGCTGATGTTATATATAGTTTCTCCAATCTTAACAGTCGTATCAACTCGTTGTTATCAGAATTTTGTGGACTCTTCAATCAGTTGGATCTGCGTTATTGTTCTTTACCAGCGTGTCGTTTCTTTTGTCGTCAAGTAACAAGTGTGATTGAATGGCGTCTCAACCTCACTGTTCTTAAATTAGGCAATCGTTATCGATGTTCTCAAACAGATATGTTAGCTGAGGAGATAATCAAATCATTTGTCGCAAATCATTTTGCAAAGATAGAAAAACCATATGATAACGTATCGGAAGATATTTTTCGAAGCTTAATAACAAATGGCACGAACATACCACCGATATTTCCTCGATTGATTTCTTTGGTTGTTTACCAGCCAGTACCTATTAGTGAAGTTTATCGAGACGTTCTATTATTTTCTGTAGCTAATGGATCATTATTGCGTAGTTTCACTTGGAATTCATGTGCTAGTCAAACTTATCATTCAAGCGCTTTTTTCGATTGGCTCTTTCGATATTCGACTAATCTTGTTAATTACAAACTACAAACCGCACCAGATACAAACGGTTTTGAGCTCAAATATGATCATGCAACTCTTAATACTTATATTCCTCATTCTTCTCTCATCAACTTAACGATTCACATTCTTAACTTATCTACACTTCATATACTTCTTCACTATCTTCCTCAACTTGAGCATTTAGGTAAGCAATAGTCACACACGGGTTATCCTAAACATATTTATGAATTGATTTCATTTGAAGATGTGCATGTAAGTAGTATGTCTCATTCAAACAATAATGAAGATCAAAAATTGAATTATCCAAAAAATCTTCGCGTAATGAATTTGAGGTAAACTTCTTCGATATCTTTTTTCTCTTGCTATTGATTTTCTTTCAAGGTACTTTTCGATTGAAGGACAAGACTGTAGTTGTCTTGAGCGATTAGTCGATAAATTTAGCGAAACGTTAGAGAAATTCTCTTTATTTTTAATTCATTATTGTCGTGGCGACATTGACATGTGTTTCAATGGTTGTCGCCTAGCCACTCTTTGCAAGAAGCTATCTCGTTTGCAATCAATTCATTTTGCTATTCATATTCCACTTATGGAAAGAGCAACTCATCAGATCTTATGTGGTTTCATTCAAGCGTTTCGCACACCTTTTTGGCTCGATGGACCATTAGGCTGCATACAAGTGTGCGTCAACTATCATCAAATAAATCGGTGCGTGCAAATGTGTTCTCTTCCATATACATTCACCGGCAGTACTCTATTTCATACGATTGACCTCATTGACGCATTGTTTAACAACATTGAAGAAGAAAAGCAAATACAAACTGATTTGTCTACAACACTTGCATCTCTATGGCGTGAGACAAAATGGTTGTTTATCTCGTTTACTGAGAATCAAAAGATACCAATTTCTTTTCTTCGCGCACTTCACTGTCCATACAGTCAAGGTAATTGAAGGAGATCATTACTGAAAGCATGTTTTCTAATGTAGTCACATTGTTCTTCTAGGTAGAGTTTTGGTAATATCATGTGAAAGAGGAATATTGCCAGACAAAATAGACGACCAGCTACAACTGACACATTTCAGTACATTACAATTAAACAGTTCGTTTGATTTCGACAATACTTATGATTTTGCACGTACGTTGAGATTTATGTTAGTTAATTTTCAAAAAGAAAACACACATATCAATCGAAAAACGAAAATTTTTTTCTCATTTTATCGCGTATCTCTGCTGTATCCATTTTATTTTAGAATCAATTGCTTGGTTTCGTTTATTACCAAAGGTAAAGTGTCTTTATGTTAATTCAACTGAACTAAAGCACTGGTTGACAATTGATCATAACAAACAGCAGCTTCTCAATACATTTCTTAGACAACTTGATCGACTGTATATAAACTGCTCGCCGCTTATCAACATAAATCAGAATGAAGAAATTATGTTACCACTTCTTTCTTTTATTATCAATGCACAATGTTTTCCCAATTTGAAGTATTTACGTTTTGTTAGATGCAAATATATCTCATCATCGTGGATCAATATTAATCAATGGATTGAATTTATTTTCCTTCATATTAATGAACACCAACTTAAATGTTTACGTTTTGATTTTATTGAAAAAGAAAAAGAGCTACCTGATGTGAAAACCACTGATGAACTTATCAAAACGACTGAGTTTTTATGTACTATTAATATTCAACGATTTGTATCAGAGAATCATATTTCATATTGGATAGAACGAAAATAGAGACAAAATTTCGTACACCCTTATTATCAGTTTGTTATATATATCATAAGATCAAACGCTGTTCGTCGTTTTTGAATTATGCTCATGGTAACAAAAGATGTTTGGTGTACAAATCGGTCTTCTCTTTTTGATTTTCTTCTCGCACTGTTCGCATGCAAACATTTTTCTTATCCTCTTCAATGATTTTAGACTATTGTTTACCAATACATAATGTATGTTGCATAAAACAATCAAACAAAATAGAATACAGAGAAAGATGAACATGAATAATTACGAAAGTTCTAATAAAGCCGAGATAAATAGGTAATATTTATTCGCAAACTGGCTAATGTTTTGTATGATACTTTGAAAAAAAGTGAAAACTTTAAAGAATAACCATGCATTAAATATTTTACTTAAGCTCTAATGGATCCACGAAGATTCTATCAAAACGAATTTATTATATTTGTGAAGTGTCTACCATTCACTTTGCGAACGAATGGGAAATTTGCTTTTTTAGAAGAATCATCGCTTCAACAATTATGATCTGCTTGATTGGGTGGTTGTCCAGTTGCATGTGTTTGATAAGTGTGCCCGTAACCAGCCATTGATGTTGTTGCCGTGGAATCGTATTGCACGGTGTTGTTCTGAGCAGCCCAGGTCGAAGAATCCGGCCCGGAACTGGGTAGTTCCAGGACCTTCCGGGGATTTCATGGAAGCAGTATTCCGGCTACCGAATCCTTTCATCGCATTTAAAAGGTTTTATCGGGAACCAGTAAGAGCCCTCCATAACCATTAGTCGGATGCGGTTACCGGTTCCTTCAGTGGGATTCCGAATATTTTCTCGTGGTTTCCAGCGCGGATACTATAAATATCCTGCGAGTTTTCACGGGAAATAAGCGGAATACTACTTCCAGGAACGATCGTCCTGGGAGTGGACGACGGTTTATTTTGCACACTTTTCGACTCGACGCTAGACGAACTGCTCGTCGAACTTCCTTCGAAAGTAAAATCAGATGATGATGATGAATTTGAAGCCATCACCTGAAACAATGAGGTTTTAGCAAATTTAAAAAGTAATGTTCGATGTGTGTCAAAGTATTTCGTTTTTGTCTTATTTTTATACAAAATTTCGGAAGAACTGAGTTTTAATAGTTACCTTGAGAACAAAAATGAAGATTGAATTGAATGGACAGCGTAAAATTTATTGTTAACAACAATAATTGTTGAGAGTGAATGTACCCATCGTGAGTATTTATAATCGACAAGTAGCGCTCATCCGTTGGATTCGCTGACCCTTTTCTAAAAGAATTGTCTCAGTGCTGACCACATTCAAACACTTTGAAAGACAACTTAGGCACTGCGATTGCTACTAGCCCTCAACTGAACCATGCCACTATGTCACACACTAGAGTGAATAGAAGACAGAGATTGTTTTTTTCAGGAACCGAACCGAACCGATTAGCCATTTGTCAGTGAATAATTCCCTAGAAGTACCTGTGCTGACTGAAAACCCCATCCCTCAATGGCTAGTCGCTCGTCAACCTCGCTCCGGTCGGCCAATCACGACCAGCCATTCACCTTTTCATCTGTTGTTCTATTTTCACATTACTCGCATGAAAATTTTACACATTAGCCTGTCTCTTTTCTCTGCTTTCAACAAAATAATGCCTTCTCCAATATTTTCATTGAGGAATATACATTTGCCAAATCCTT